GAGAGGGCGGGCAAGTCTCTATCGGGAACAACACGGGTGCAAGAGCGGCGGGAAAGACGGCGGGGACCAGGCAGATGCATCGCACGCGGAGGAGGACCCTCGTGGGCTTTTACGAGATCGGACGCACGATCGGCCTCCTGGCCAGTCTCTGAGATTAAAGCTCTCGGGGATCCTCGACATCCTCGAAAAAGAAAAAAAGAACCGCAGCTCCGTGGCTCGCGGACAACCACCGGCCGAGCAGGGTGGAGAGTCCCGAAGGGAGGGGGCGATGAGCCGTGTAAACACGTGGTGATACAACAACTGTGATCAGCGGACTGTGATATATATATATACACCTGTACCACATTATACATTATACTCCTACCGTACACACTTGATCGGGAAAGAGATCACCCAATGACAACGTGCGCCATGGCAGAGTAAGTGAAACATAATACAAACGGCAACTTTTCAGCGTCTCATCTCGCGCTCATCTCGAAATCTCAGAATTCTGAACGCAACGTGTAGTCATATGACCGCGCGGCTAAAAGCAGCCGTTTATTTCGATACTGACGACGTGCAGATCGTACGTTTCCAGACGCACGTGGCGTTCTCGGAGTTTCTCGGGAAACCGCGGAGTACGGAAGCCTCAGATATTCAGGACAAGACGTAGAGACGCGTTTCTTTTTAATAGACATATCGCATTCATCGTTATACTTAATTATTACATGTTGTTACGTTTCCTGTTGTGTCACAATCGTTAGATTAGAAGTTATAGGTAGTTCTCAGTACGGTTTCTTCGCTTTAATTTCAAGTGACGTGCGAAAGTTAAGTATAACACATTTTTACATTACTCAGCAAGTTCCTCGCGTGCATTCGAAATGAACGTGATCGCTGTAGATTCACGAAATTCATGATTAAACGCGGTTCTGAGCAGAGATGAGAAAACGAGGGCAAAGTCGACGGTTGTCGCAAATGTATATACGCGCGATCAACAAGTGATTCTATCTCGAAAGCTCTTGTTTACGATGATCGAATCTCGTGACTTTGCTCCGAGATCGTTGCGTGTCTCTACTGTCTCCTCTCGGAAAATTGTAAAACGTGTGATTAGTCAAATATATTTCGAATAATTAAGTATTTTTTGGAGACTGCGCACGTTTTGATATTTTGGAGCTTGTCGTATAATCAGTCGTAAACAAAGCATGATAAAACCAGATAATGTAGCTCCTACAAAATTCGCTTCGCGCGCCGATTGTAGAATAAGCCTCGGAATAATCTAATGAGAAAAATAAAAAAACTAGATTATAATGTCATCGACTGGATCTCACAATCAGCTGGACTCTTTAAGAAGATATCTCTAGACGTGGAGGCGTCTCTTTAATGCAGACGTCTAATTTTAAGCTTTTAATTTATTTAATATGAGGATCGCGTTTCGCCTTCTGCTCCTCAAAGTGGAACATGGCACGCGGACTATAATCGAATATAAAAAGGATGTGTCATCTCGTCGCCGTCCTAGTCACGTCGCGCGTCGTCGTGGACGCGTTTTACAACGCGCGCCGCGAAGCAATTATATTATATGTATATTTAGCACCGCAATTTTATCGGTGAACGAGAATGACAAATGCCTCTTTGACTGCACTTGACAACGTTGTCAGTCGTGAAGCGCAGTAGGCCGGAAAGATAATATTGTTGATAGCTGATAACACTAGTGCATATAGACGTTTCTGATGCACGTAATCTATTAATATTGTATCGATTAACACCGCGGCGATGCATGACCGGCTGTCATGACGATCTACACGTATTTACCACGATCCACGATATTATCTCTATCATCAGTCGGGCTACGTCATTAACACCAATGTTAATTGACTTTTAATGACACGACGCCGCCCACTCTTTATTAATCCACGGCTGAAACGTGCGTTATCGCAAGCTGGAGATTGCTATAAAATAAAAGATATACGAACACAACACTCGATATGTTCATTTATTTAATATCAATTTAACATCAATTTATTTAACTGTATCATAGTCCGAAGATTAGTCACGATGATTATTAACGCGTATTTATTCATAGCGTATCTCAACTTTATTGACATCGCTTAAAGAACTCGTCTCATTTTTGCTCCGCTTTCGCGAGAAGCGAGAATCGGGCACGTATATTAAATCGATGCTCAACATCGGAGACGAGCGAGATGCGGTATTTTTACACCCGGGAAGAAGACGGTCGTAAAAGTTCTCGCGTCGAGTTTTTTGCGCACGATGATCGATCGCGGCCTTGCGAGAAACGGATTTATTAGTCGGCGGCAGAATCGAGGTAATATCGCAGTAAATGAAGCGGAAAAATGCGGAGTCGCGAACAATGACGGTGAAGATGACAACGCTGTCATCAGTTTTCCAGCTTGGCGATGATAATGCGGCTCTCTCTCTCTCTCTCTCTCTCTCTCTCTCTCTCTCTCTCTCTCTCTCTTTCTCTCTCTCGCGCGCGCGCGCGAAACAACACTCGGCCTCCCCTTGCGAGCCTCATGAGCGTAAATCAGTAATGATAATACAACGAGATCCGCGTCGCCGTTACACGCAGATGCGTGACTCGGAGTGTGTATCGCTATTGCTTGGATAAACCACGCTGTAGTCGATGCGGAGATTTATTTTAAGAAGAATAAGTCTCGAAAGAGTGACATGAAGTTTCTATAAAGAAGCACGCGGTGGAAGATCCCGGACGTCAAGATCAAAGGTTTTCGCCTTGCTAATTTCTCGAACGTCAAACGATCTTCTCTCCGCTTTGTTTTCACCGTGATTTAAAATTATCTCCGGACGATGACGTAATCCCGTGCTACGATGCGTGTAGCGACATTGAACTTGGGCGACACGAATCAACGGGCTAAGACAATGGTCTGCGTGATTTTTAAGCACTGTCTCGAATCTCGCGACGATCGGAAAAGTTGTCGCACTCGCGTTAACCTGCCGCGTGTTATTCGTGTGATCGTACATATAATATTTGATATATGCATTAGCACATCTCTCTCTCTCTCTCTTCAGCCTCCTTCGAACGATCGGTGCCTCGTGAAGCCGCGTGATCATCGCGTCGCGGCGTCGGTGCGCTTATTAGCAACGCAAACACTCCGTATATTTCGCAACGCGTCACAATGTTGCTGCTGCTTTCCGAGACAATTTACCGTCGCTGTCTCCTCGCTCGTATTTACCTTCGTTCAAGCGCAGCGTGTTGTAATTAGACTATTAATACCAGGGACATGTCCGTTCGTTCGTTCGGTCGAATGCAACGCTCGCTGAGAGATGCAGTTCGCATGTCTGCATATATGCGTGTGCGCAATGCGCATTACACTTGAATTTTCCACGCGGATCGGCGTAAACACGAAAATAATCTTTACGAGCGATTCCGTTGTATCGTGCCAGAATTCGCGAGTCCGCTTGGCATGGCCACCACGCGCGATGGATCGTTAGGCTGATCCTTGGACCAGCTGATCGAACGCCACTTATATTATCACGCTGTTTTCGTCTTTACCCAAAGCCTTGAGGCTCACGCAATAATCTCCGTAAATGTTTAAATGACATCTCTTGTCAATAACTCAATACTTAATCTCTCAGGATTTTCGGACTGAATTAATATTTGCGCGTATCACTTGACGGGAGTTAAAAGAACGTTTTAAATCTCTCTCTCTCTCTCTCTCTCTCTCTCTCTCTCTCTCTCTCTCTCTCTCTTTCTCTCTCTCGCCTACGCATTTATGAACGTCTGATATCTGCCGCAACAAGATAGAGAAATCGCGTGAAACTGCTCGTTTCCTCGATTACTCCGAAACCGAAAACATCGCCAGGCCGCGGCTCGATTCTCGCAGCTCGCGCATCATACATATGTTTAAAATGTTCTACGAGCAATAACGTCATGCGTTGTTTTCCATAATCATCTTCTCTTTGTCCCTTTCCACGTGTCTGATATCTGCTTCTAATTAACCCACTAATACTTCACACGTCATTCTATTGAGAAACAGCATGAATCTCTTCTGAAATTTTTTCTATAATTATTCTCTTAAATATAAATATAAAGAGACTCAAAGATTGAAAATTAATAAAAATAAAATATGACTCTAAGGGCCGGTCGTTCCAATCTGTTGGTAAACTAATAGTTAAATCATAGATATATCTATATCTTTGTTTTCCCTCCAAATTAGACAAAGATAGACTTATGATTTAACTATTATAGTTACTTTACCAACAGGTTGGAATAACCAGCCCTAAGCCCTTTTATATTATTTTTATTATCTCTAATATCTTTATTATCTCGCGCTGCAAAATAATCTCGAGAAATGCTACAAACATCTTTAAAAAAAACTTATAAAAAATATTATTAAGCAGATGTCGCTCGATGACCGAAAACGCCAATATTCGTTCTGGAATTCGTTAGTCATCGAAACAATCGAAGCGCTGCATGAATCGTTTTCCGGCGTGTATACGAGTGAAGAGTGAAGGCTGGTGAAGGCTATCTTCGGTTGTCGCTTTGTTCGCGTCCGCAGGATAAGTAACGTTTCAAGATCCCGCGGAAAATTCCGTCGACACGACGACGGGGTGGCCGCGCGCACGAAACCATCAACATCCGATGGAAAATCTTGCGAAATCCCTCTTGCGTTCTAATTCGGTTGCGCGAACGAACGGCGAGGCCCTTGAAGTGTCGTCGCCGCACGGCCTTCGTGCGCAAAGTCAAGGTGCGCACAAAGAGGAGATACAGCTCCGTCAACACGCTGAATCGTCCCGAGACCGCTTTGTCTGCCGTGAACGGCGACAACAACGTTCTTTGTTGACAGAAATGTCAGTCTGACGTCTATGCGTTCTTCTGTAACTCGGCAGACGCTGAAAGATCATAAAACTTGACGATTTTCTAAAGAAGCTCGTTAATTGCGACGAACCTTATATCTCCTGATAAAAGAAAACGTAAACCTATATCTCGCCTAAAAAATAAATACTGTATAAAATACTTTATTTGATAAACAAGACATTATTATGTTTTTCTCTGATTGGAGAACATATAAAGAATATAACTGCATTGTATCTCATATCTGCGTTTGTAGGCTTATCTTAGCTCAGGTTTGATTGGTTTGATTTACTGTATAGATTTCTCAACACCGAGTTTGAAAAATTCGCTTCGTCAAAGATCTCTTCCGGATGCATTCTACAAGAAAATTTTTTTCTTTGTCCATGCCCATTTTCATTGTTTATATCTAGATAGAACTGCATGTAAAAACAATGATTGCGACTGCTGTTTCGAGGGAATTCCAATCAGAGACTTGGTGTGAATGAACACCGCGAACACACAAGGCCGCAACTGTGCGGCGAAAACGTTACGCGGTCGTGTACTCGTTACGCGTATGCAAGTTTGGCTTTCGTCCAACCGCTGGATTTGAATTTCAAAAATCCAGGACACACACGCTGGATCCAATATGCAAACTTCAGCGATCGCGATTGTTTGAAACAGAAATAGCTTTTATTTATGATAATCCGACCCGCGACCGACGTTACGTCGCGCACGCGCGCAAACGGCATCGTTAACTTGATAAGTTAATAATTAAGTGTTCGGGAAACCGGGCCGATAAATTAAATATGTTCGCCTCGAACTCAGTATGGAACGAAAAAGGAAATTATTAATACGTAAACGCGATAAAGGCGCAACTACAATTTTCATTAACTAATTCGTCACGTGCGTGCCTGCATGCAAGTGACAAATTAATGCATGGCACTCGTCAGTTTCTGCGAAGTCAATGACAATTGTTAACACAGGTGCGAGTAAAAGTACCAGAGGGAAAACTCCGGAGGTCGATACGCACGGTTACGCAACACGACGAACGTTAAGCAGTCGGTTCGCCGACTGCTTGATCTCTTCTATCAAATAATTTCTCGCGCTACGCGTGCATTTTCGCAAACGACTCTTTCCCGATAGAGCCACGAGCGTGGCGTGGACGGAATTATTGCGGAAGTGGCAAAAACTTATCGCGAATTTACATAAGGCCTTCACGGCGATCCGCGTACACGATTATGACTCTATTGCCTTAAATTTTTTTTTACCATTTCTTCATGTACAGTCGAGAATTATCAGCGAAACTCTGTGAGAAACAATTTTCCTTGTCGAAGATCATCAACACGTACACGCGGTCGGTCCTCTGTGACACGAGTCCCCTTTCATTTAAAGGTCGTGATACGCGGCGATTATGTCATCCCGGCGTGCAGCCACGCAAACTGCGAAACCTGACCATCTCGCTCTTCCTCTCGCTAGGATTTTTCTCTCGCGCTCCTCGCGCAGCCAGGCTCTTTATATCCTTTCAACAGTAACGCTATTGTGCAGCACGCGCATGCAGAATGTTTTAAATACCACGTATAGACGTACATATTCCGCACACGCATGCGGTAAAAATTTTTCTTTTTTGTTAGGAATTTGTCGGGTATATCAGCAACTCGAGTGTCTTATATACTAATATTTTTTCTATTTTATCTGACCTATCTATCTATTTTATTCACATGATTTTTCTAGTATTATATACATTACGTTAATTAATATTTGTACATTTACGTTACAAACATATAAACGTTTGTGCCAATGTTTGAGTGATTTTATAATTCTCAATTAAACCGACTCAAAATTATTAAAACGATCATTATGCTTCGGAGATACTGGTGTGACAACGTCCCTAAACTGAATGCGAATCAACATTTAGGTCGAATTTAATTTTAGTACCGTCAAATCCGAGCCAAAGTTGCAACCGGCGACGGCACGACGAGCTTTTTACGCACAGGTGTTCGGGCTCGTTATTTCGACTGCTCATTATCGGCCAATGAAATGATCTCTCTTTATCTGCTGATTAGCGTGGAAAGTTTTCTCGCACATTATACTTGACAGCATTTGACATCTGCCGCGTTATCTGCGGCTCGAACGAAAATAATTATTATCTTCCCGCCAAACCGATAAATAGTAACAAGCCAGTGTTTACAGTTTATATCGCTCGCTCGCGCGATACTCGTCCATCAAGAAAGAAAAATTCACCGCGAACTTGCGTACTTTCAAAACGATTTCGACGAATGACAAACGCTGAAAAATCTTGCGTACTGTCCGCTCGAGCCTCGACTCCTCGAGCCGATCTCCATCTCCATCGGTTCGACACGTGAGTAGCTCGCGCGTAGACACATATGATTTGCACCGACCATCAACCGTGTCCCTAACACGTACGGTAGTAGAACGTCATCGCGTTTAATTGTCACTCGATATAGCTCTGCTGTTATTTTAACAAAAGAAAAACAACGCTTGCATAATCGAACCTTTCTTTTAATCGCCACGTGATTTGCATAAATGTAACCTTGTGCTTTAAGATTGTTCCTCACCTCGTTATAAATAACCGAGTGCGGGCGATAATGGATATCGTGAATGCAAAAGTCTGGCTCGTAACTCCGTCGTTAACTTTCCGCGCGCGTATGTGCAATATTCAATCGTTTAGATAATGTACAATAGCAGCTTGCAGCTATTAGCATGCGTTTCCCGTCGTCATTAACAATCGTTTATCTTATAGGAAAAATAACGGCGTGCAAGATCCGGAGAAGACCTCGCTGGTGGACTCGGCGCTGCTCCCGAAAATCCAGCCGTCCGCGCTGCTCAATGACGAGAGAGCGAGTCTGGCGGCGAACGGCTCCGCCGCGAACGGCGATCCTGAGGACCCCCGGACGCCCAGGGGTAGCGCCGTCAGACAAGTCGTGGCCGCCCTAGTCGCCCAGCTCGGTACCATCAACACGGGCATGGCGTTCGGCTTCTCCGCTATCGCCCTGCCACAACTCCAGGAGCCAGACAGCATCATTCCCATCAAGGAAGGATCGACGGAGGAATCGTGGATCGGTAGGTCGTCGAGAGGAGGATCTAAAATCTACAGCTCTTCCAAAATATATTTTCTTTCTTTTAGATTTATTCCCCGATAGAAATATTTTGCTGAAAGTATTATGAAATCGATGAAAAGTGAATTGAAAGTTATTGAAACATTACTGAATATATTCCAAAATGAATCATAATTTTCTTTATGAAATGTAATATTGTGAAATATAAGGAAAGTTAAGTCTTCTAGAACACAACTTCCAGAGCATCCCGAAAACACCATAGATCTGGGAGATTTATGATAATTTTGGTAGGCTGTAATTTTATTACAGCTGCAGCCTATTAAAATATTACAGATTAATATTTTTGGACTTTTTTCTCGCTCTCTCTGTGATGTAGGAATATACCTGAATAGGTTTTAATACTAAAAAGAGTTTTATTTTGTCAAGTTGTGAAGTTCAAACTTCGAAAATAGAAAATTGCTAGTAAAATTTTATTTGGGTCTGGGAGACCCATGCTGTGTATTCTAGGGTTAAATTATACTGTTAAAAAGTAATAATAATTTTTTTTTTAATATTAAATATCAAATTTACAGAATTTAACTGAAAACTGACTTTTTACTAAAATATTGATGGAATAATAGTGAAATGGGGTAAAACTGAGAAAGAATTTCAAATACATTTCAATAAAATATCTCCATCAGGATTCTTAGGCATAAAAAAATATATAAATTCTCATTCTTTTTCCCCTCACAGCTAGCATGTCCTCCATCGGTACGCCGATCGGCTGCCTGGTTTCCGGGTACATGATGGACATGTTCGGCAGGAAGCGGTCGCTCATCATCACGGAGGTGCCGGCGCTCCTCGGATGGCTGCTGATCACATTCGCGACCGACATACACATGATATACGCCGGTCGATTCTTCGTTGGTTTGGGGTCGGGCATGGTGGGCGCGCCAGCCCGCGTCTACACGAGCGAGGTGACGCAGCCGCATCTACGGGGGATGCTGACCGCCGTCTCGAGCGTCGGTGTCAGCACCGGGGTGCTGATAGAATACGCCCTCGGAAGCCTGCTCGCGTGGAACGTCTGCGCCGCCATCAGCGGTATCTTGCCGCTCACCGCCCTGCTGCTAATGTTCTTCTTTCCGGAGACCCCGTCCTACCTTATATCGCGCAACCAACCGGACCAGGCGAAACAGGCGCTGCGGAAGTTCCGCGGCAGTACTTACAACGTGAACCGGGAGATGGAAACCTTGGTGGAATTCTCCAACAAGAACAACATCAAGCGACTTACCGGATTCCGGGAGATCGTGTGCGCTCTGCTGAAACCCAACGCGCTCAAGCCGTTCACTCTGCTATTTCTGTACTTCTTGATATACCAATGGTCGGGCACCAACGTCATAACTTTCTACGCCGTAGAGATCTTCAAGGACTCAGGAGCGAGTATGAACAAGTACTTAGCGGCGGTGATATTGGGAATAGTCAGGCTCACCTCCACGATCGTCGCATGTGTCCTGTGCCGAAGATGCGGCAGGAGACCGCTCACGATGGTGTCCTCCGTCGGGTGCGGGCTCTCCATGTTGGGACTAGGCGGGTACATGTGGTTGAAAAATTATTGGGTCGCGAACAACCTCCCGCTCGTCGCCACGTGGATCCCGGTCGTGTGCATATTCTCGTACACCATCACTTGCACTCTCGGCTTTCTGGTGATCCCATGGGTGATGATAGGCGAGGTCTACCCCGTGCAAGTACGCGGTATTATCGGTGGCCTGACCACCATGTGCGCGCACACCTTTGTCTTCATGGTCGTTAAAACTTATCCCTTCCTGGCCAGCGCGCTCACCCGACACGGCACGTTCATTCTCTACGGCTGTATATCCATGTTCGGCACGATATATTTCTACATATGCCTTCCGGAAACTAAAGATAGAACGTTACAAGAAATCGAGGATTATTTCTCCGGTAGAACCAACAATCTGACGACCGGCAGAATAAGTAACAAGCCAAAGGTTCTAGAAATTAAAAAGGGCCAGATATTACCGTGAAAAAGAGGACCATTTTTAATCATATAACTTTTGCAATGTCGCTTACTTTAAAAGAATCTACTTTAATTAGGAGAGAGAGAGAGAGAGAGAGAGAGAGAGAGAGAGAGAGAGAGAGAGGAAGGTATTTTGCTTAATTGTTAGCGACTAAGAACGTTATCTACTTTTACAATAAAATGGGCAAGTACTCTAACTTTGACGTTTGCTTTGTGACAAATATATATCGTAGAAAATAAGATGAAATATTTTTAGACAAACGATGAGATATAACGATAAGACAAAAATATGTGTACACTTTATAATTCTAAAATTAACAAAACCAGTTTTTACTATTAAAGAGAAAATGTTATTGTAATATTACATTATTGTTATTTATAAAATGTTATATTATTTTTCAGCATACATGTATTTGTTCACAAAGCATGAAAATGATTAACTACGTGCTATTAGCAGACATTAACGTTCTCATATCCTCAATCACACACGAGATATTATTTGAGCAAGGTAACAAAGAATACGGAAAATTTTAATTATAATCCTCCCGCGTGTACTCGCGAGGATGTAAAATACGAAAGACCACGTATCTCTTAATGACTTAAACGAGGTACGCGCTAATAAAAAGGTGGTGCTATTTATTATATGTATAAATCATAGTATTAAACTGTACTGTAATGTGTGCTACGTGTAACGATAGCGTTAATAGGAGCCTAAGACAAATACGAACGTGTAGAGAGCGTCCTATATATAGGAACTATTTTATAAATTCATAAAGATATTTTGCGTGTCGACAGCTAATATATTTTATAGAACTAGATAACAAATTTTCAAGCATGTATTTATTACAAAGCACAGTAGATCAAGTGCCATCTGTTATTATCATGTGCAATCTAAAATCATAATAATGAATGAAGGTAAACGTTCATCTCTCTGCATACTAAACAAATGCCTTATAATGATCGTTATATATGAGAGTTTTGATGAATGAATGACTATATAAGTGACTTATTTTTTTATAAGAAAATACATCTCGTGCTCATTTACGTCTGTTTCTCTTGATTATCCCACTTTTCAGGTTCTTCTCTTTTCACGTTCGGAATATAAAAAGGACATACGTACTATTCCAATAAAATTTTATTACCACGACTCATACATAAGTTATAGAGTCAAACGAGGTTTGTTACGTTTAGCATCCTTTCTTGCTTTTTTCTCGTTCACAAATTGCTTAATCATCTCAGGCGGCAGAATCTCGCCTCTGAACATTCTTGGTAGTCGCTCCTTGTTCAAGATATTTAGTTTCTCGTTGACGTACTCCTTAGGGTCAAACGCTTGAGCTTCCTTGACTTTGGCACGTAGCTCAGCCTGAAACAATCTCTCCCTTTTATGGGCCCTCTTGAGCCTTATCTTTGCCCATACAAATTTCATCTTCTTACGCAGCTTCTTTCGTTTGTGTTTCTTCATTTTCTTATGCCTGATCCTTAACATGTTTTCCGCCTGTTTATCAATGATTCTTCCACTCGTAGGTAGATCCACAGATTTTTCTGGTACAGGAGAATCATACTGAATGGGCAAACGCTTCACAGGCTCTCGCAATGGAGGAATCTTAATAGCAGGTGATTCAATAATATTTCTTATTAAACTTCCATTCGCAGGCATTCTAATGTCTATGTTAAGTGTTCCCGGGATAAACTTAATGCTGTGTATCGTCCCCGTACCACATTGCATGCCGCACGTGTCAGACGTTAAACGGGAACCTATATTCGCATCGCGGTTTGATCGCTGCGTCGAATATCTTGCAGTGGCAGCGGTACCTGAATTATACAAGAGGAAAACGTAAATCATTTATAAAATATTTCTTGTACGCCAACACATTTATAATACAATGTAATAATTTATATGGACAGTACGTTCTTTTTGTAATATGTGTCTAAGTGATGGATATATTTCTGTTCATTTTTATAAAGCAGATAACAGTGTTAGGTTATGATTAACTGTTTCACGTTTAATTACATAAATCTCAGTTGTCGGGGTACATACTTATTCTGCCCACCGCGATCTTGCGAAATGCAGCGCATAATGTATTCATGGTCATTGCAGCGATAGATTTATCTCGCCCCGATAGTAATATGTTTGCAGTTACACAGCACACATCATTCATTCACATTCTCCATTTTTTGCTTCCGAACTTCAGTAGTATCAGATGGCGATGTCGTCGCTTCGCACGTGCTCATTTCTCTATAATCGCTAACGAAATAAAATTATAAAAATGTAAAATATAAATAATGAATATACTTTTATCTGGTTTGGGAATTTTCAGATTAATTAAAAAAAACTTTAATCAAGGAAGATAAGATGAAGATTTTATAGAAGCGACATATAAACAAGCACAGTAAAGAATAATTTTTAAGATATTAAATTTTAAGACATTAAAAATAGAGTATCAGGAGGTTTAATAAATTAAGACCTATTTATAAGTTTTCGTTTACATTTCTTAGACTTAGTTACAAACAATACGTATGGAATAGAAATAAAGTTGTCGCACATATTGATGGTAAAAGGTGAAGGGTTTAGTCCATTCGCGTTTTGACAGTCCTCTTCGTGACCTTGTCCTTCTCTCTGAAACCAAAGCGCATACACATTTACGTAACGCGACTTGCGCGTAATACGACAAGTCGTACGTAGCGTGTTGTTGCACGCCACATTGATGACACGATACTTACATAACATGAACAACCGCACCCCATCCAGATATCGCGTCCCGATCGAACGCATTGACTAAAGCTTGACTGACGGTCTCGAATAGCTCCTCAGGTCCCAGATTCGGCTCGTAAAGCGACTCGCACATGCCGTAAAGCTGCTCCGTACACGTTCCACCTACCACAAAGTCCTCGGCCATGTTCCTGGAGCCTATCAGGTCCATGTTGCAGATGAAAGGTTCAAACGTGACCGGATCCAGTCCGGCGACTATAGGCTCCACGAAGTACGGCCCGAATCTCCTCTCGTACAGGAGATTCGAGATCATGGCGGTGAACGTTTTCGGGTGAATCTTCCGGTTCTCCTTGAGCTCGTACAGGTTCAGGCGGAAGCGCAGTCTCTCCATTACGGTCTGGGTGTCGGTGGCGAGGCCGGGCAGGCTAACGTACAGGTGCGGTCCCATCTCGTAGATCTTCTGGAAATCGCACGTTATCGTCTGCGCCTGTATACCGAATCTGCGATCGGCTGCTATGGCCACGCACCTCTTCCCCTTCATCGCTATCACGGCGCCGCCGTTGTACGCGAGGATGCTCTACGGAAGAAGGAGAAAACATGTTCAGATGTGTATCGTACGTGAGGATCATCCCGCGACTCCGCGACGACTGTATGCTGTATGCTGTGTCATCAAGACGATTGACAGCAAAGTAACCTCCACGCACGGATTAACCTTCGCGAGCTCGTTAAGAGAAATCCCGTCGCGGGACAATGCGACGGGAGTACGAAAAATACCTTTTAACAGATAAACACTCACCATTTTCTCATACGAATATCTGACAGGTTACAGTAGAAAATGTCAACCGCAGACAGTTGGACGGGACGGGAACGCGTCGAAATGCGAGTCACGACCTCACGACAGTCACGACCACGACCACGAGCTGTAGGCAATATAGAAGCGTGGACGTACGTGCGAGTAGTAAATGAGAGAATAAGAGGGGGAACTGAATTACTTTTCATCTTTTTATCTTTTATCTAAAGTATTATATCCATTTTTCAGTTTAACGTACTTTTTATCCATATCTTTCGGTGTAAATTATTTTTTTTAATATCGAAATGAAAAGCTCGAACGTACATGATCTACGTATCGCACTGTCAATGGCACGACGCGACGTCAGCGGCGTCAGCCCGGTCAGCCGGCCGTCAGACGTATGTACGGGTGCGTACATACTTATGTATGTTTATGTATGTATACATGTCCAAATACCACAAATTCTCCAAATACATGTGACGGCTAATCAGGCCGCGGGCGAATGGCGAATGAGAACAGCGCGTCGCGCGCGAAGCAAACATGAGCATGGCCACAGCGCGATATTATTTGAGGATTCAACGCGCGAGCGGGCACGGGAGAGAGAGAGAAAGAGAGCTGAGAGCAGCTGAGAGAGCACTGCGAGGTCCGACGACGAACGTCGGTGACACGAGCGCGCGTGCTGACGGAAGACGGAAGGGAAAAGGAGCATAGCGGGCGCGGGTGAGGGGAGCGGCAGATGTCGTGTGACGGCGCGGAGGCGACGGGGGCAGGGGGCAGGGGGCTACGGAAAATGCGCTCGCTCGCGTGTGCTTCTTGTACTCGCCGCGAGTGCCATGCATCGTCCCGCCGCGGCAGCGAGTGACTCGCGTCCCCGCCCCAAAAATAAACGGCCCGGTACGTCTCGTCACCCCGTCGTCGAGGGAAGGGACCCCTGTGTGCGCGAGCCCCCGAGTCTTCCCGCGCCCGGAGATCTTTGGTTAGGACGAACCGCGGCACGCGGTCCATCTGGGTTCTGGCCTGGCTTGGCCGAGCCAGTCAGCTGTGTGCCGTGTGGTGTCCTATCTCCCCCCCCCCCCCCCTCTTCAATGACGGGCATCCGCGTGTAGTCCCACGCGCGACCTGACCTGACCGCGGACCCCCCCCCCTCGAGTCCACCACGTCCCGACGAGCGTGTCCCCGAGGAAGAAACCGTTGTCTCTTTGTTCGAATCGATATTTCGCAACGCGAAAGTCGCGAAACCGAGTTACCGAGTACACGCTCGTACGCCCCAGTGGGCAAGCGGCGGTGACGGTGACCACGCGCGCCATTAGATTAGATTCGAGATTCGAGATTCGAGGTTTTGATTTCCAAACGGCTGGATGTTTACGCGCGCGACTCCGACAACGCCGAGGTCGTTCGGACTGTTTGGAGTGTAAAAGATTCTTCGCGGGGGACTGCGGGGAGTGTCACCACTGTCACCTTGCCGCGCGCAAAAGTTACGGGGAAACGACGAACGACGCGGGACAGGGGAGATTTAGAACGGCCGTGAGAGATGCGTGCGTGTGTGCGGCGTACGCGTGCTACATACGTGTAGTGTATTTCACTTTTACGTTATTTTTAAACCGACGATGTACAAAACACACGAACAAAGCCGTGTAAACTCAGTCTCTGGTCACGCCGAAGGACCCGACACTCTCGGGATGTGTTCCCGCCGCGGTTGGCGTTTGCTTTTATCTTTTATCTTTTATCGGAACGTCCTTAGTCCGCTCGCACAAGTCGAGCCTCTCTAACTGCGCTTGAGAACGAACGCGTCCCTGTATAAATAATGGTATAGATCTCGTATGTAAATAAGCCACATGAGTGACTTTGCTGTTTTACAGGTTTGTAGTGTACAGTGACCTGTCGTCGTTGTGATCAAGTTACCAGTAGTTTGTGGAGGGAAGGATGTCACTAAAACCCAAGAGAGTGGATTTTAATCAAACGTGGCACGTCCTACAAGAGACTATCAAGGGGGTGATAACGCTGGCAAATATCCCGCGTGCTATATGGAACGACAGATTTAGGTACGAGATTTAAGACGTATATCTTACTTCTCTCGTCTCTATGTAGGAAAGTGTGTAATAAGTGTGTATTACGATTGCAGCGACGTTTATTCCTTGTGCGTTGCGTATCCCGAGCCGCTGGCAGACCGTTTGTACGACGAGACAAAGAGGTTTTTGGTCAACCATGTAGACCACTTGCTGGTACAGGTCACGTCGTGGGATGACAAGTGGGATTTGCTCCCGGCGTATTATCGTGCATGGACAGAGTACTCGCAGGGCATTTACTATTTGCATAGCTTGTACTTATACCTCAATCAACAACACATCAAGAAGCAAAAGCTCTCCGAGGCAGAACTCATCTATGGCACGAGTTTGCACACGAGGGAGGAAGAGTGCCAGGAGCAGATGGAGATTGGCGAACTCGGTTTGGACATTTGGAAGAAAAAGATGATAATACCGCTCAAGGAAAAACTCGTCTCCCTTCTGCTCGCGTGTATCGACGCCGATAGAGCGTCGAACGTGCTTGCACCGACCGACGTTATTTGTGGTGTTATAGAAAGTTTTGTTCGGGTAGAAGAGCACAAGATGAAGGGAAAATTAAACGTAATCAGTTACATTACGTGTTTTTGTTTTATAGGAAAAGAGAGATCTCTCTCTCTCTCTCTCTCTCTCTCTCTCTCTCTCTCTCTCTCTCTCTCTCTTTTTAGAATTATATACTGACGTGAATCTTATTTTACAGTTGTATCAAGAAATTTTTGAAGAGCCTTTTCTAGAGGCTAGTGGAGAATTTTACACAGCAGAAGCGTCATCGTTGCTGCAACAGTCGGACGTTACGCGTTATATAGAGAAAGTTACATGGAGACTCGCTCAAGAGGAGGCACGCGCTTACAAGTTCCTTCACAAGAGTTCTGTAGCAAAAGTGCGCTTTCGTTTTTCGTGCGTGTTTTAGAAATAACTCGGAGACTCGACGGTCGTATATAACGGCAATGTTTCGTTGCAGGTCAGAGCGTGTTGCGAGGATAAGATGGTAGCTGCACATGTGGATTTGCTTCATTCGGAGGCGGAGATGATGATAAAAAATGAAAGCCGACGAGATTTGGCTCTTCTTTATCCATTATTGAGGTCGTTACCAGGAGGTTTAGATCCGCTTGTGCAACATCTCACTCGTCACATTACGCTGCAAGGATTGCAGGCAATCGGACCTTTGCAAGGAGAAAATGTGAGAATATAACGGAATGCGTGAAAACGTTATGAATATAACTTATAAGATTTGTTCAATCTTATAGAAAAACATAACGTTCTAATTTCAGGTATACATGCAATTCGTGGAGAATATGTTAAATGTACATTCTAAATATTCTGAAATGATTAAGGAAGTGTTCAATTCAGATCAAACTTTTGTGGGTGCTCTCGATAAAGCTTGCTCCGCCATCGTAAATTACAGGCCCGCTCCGAAGCAGCCTGTCCGAGCGCCAGAATTGGTAAACTGTTCAGAAGCGATGATATTTTTAACTTGGGCTACGATTTCTATCGATAAGTTACGATACAATATGTATTTTTTCACTTAGCTGGCGAAATATTGCGACACTCTACTGAAAAAGTCCCCCAGAGCTGCCTCCGAAAGCGAAATCGAGGACAAGTTGAGGCGCTCCATAACCGTGTTCAAGTACGTGGACGACAAGGACGTGTTCCAAAAATTCTATTCGCGTATGTTGGCGAAGCGATTGATACATCAGCAGTCGCAATCGATGGATGCCGAGGAAATGATGATCGACGATCTGAAACGGGCGTGCGGTTACGAGTTCACGAACAAGCTTCATCGTATGTTCACGGACATGTCCGTCTCGGCGGATCTCAACGCCAAGTTCACGGCGACGTTGCGGGAGGGCGACGGTGAGAATCACGTGGGTACCGGTTTCGCGGTTAAAGTATTGCAAGCTGGCGCGTGGCCGCTCGGTCTACCACCGTCGCCCGGCCCATTCCACGTTCCGCAGCAACTGGAAAAGTCCATCCAGGCTTTCGAGGCGTTCTATCACATGCAATTTAGTGGTCGAAAGCTTACGTGGCTGCACCACCTGAGTCAGGGCGAACTCAAGTTCAATTACTTGAAGAAACCGTATTTGGTCACCGTACAAACGTATCAAATGGCGTTGCTGTTGCTCTTTGAGCATTGCGACACGATACCGTGCAAGGAAGCGGCCGCTTCGTTACGTTTATCGCACGACCAGTTAGTGAAGCATGCCGCCAGCCTTGTGGATTGTAAGATTCTCAACAAGTCCAACGACGGCGAAGTGGAGGAGGATACCATCCTCACGCTCAATTTTAGTTACTCCAACAAGAGAACCAAGTTTCGCATAACGGGCGTGTTGCAGCGAGATGCGCCGCAGGATGCGGAGGCCACACACCGTAGCGTGGACGAAGACAGAAAGATGTTCTTACAAGCAGCTATAGTTCGCATCATGAAGAGTCGCAAACTATTGAGACATAATCAACTCATACAGGAGGTGACTTGGCACGTTCGAGAGTTCAATACAAGTCACACAATAGCGGTGTTTAATGTACGTCTATTGTTTCAGGTGCTGAGTCAATCGAAGGTTACTTTCGCACCTTCTATCGGAATGATCAAGAAGTGCATTGAAACTCTGATAGATAAACAGTATATCGAGCGTACGGCGAATAGCGCGGACGAGTACTCATACATTGCGTAACCTTTTAACGTCTGTCACTAATTTATTTCACTCGAGATGCGTCCCAAACGGCATTGTGCTGAGTTCTGATCGGCGAGGCTACGCGACTAATCATCTTCAACGATCATTGAAATCTTCGAGGATACGTAGTCGTCAAAATAAAGAACACCAGTGAAAGAAAGGAAATGAGCTCCCAATGACATTTAAAAGATCGGGAAAAGCATCTTAGACCGCTTATTCGCTCCTAGGATCAATCAATTAATAAATACTTTAATTAATTTACTGACTTGTAACATATGCACACTGAATAAAGTTGACGTTACTATTTTATATTGGAGTAACACGTCTCGCAAAGAGTACGTTTATACATAATACAAATTTATTATTTTTCCTTTAATAGAATCTACTTGTCTGAGAATAGAGCAATCCATTATATATATATATATATATATATATATATATATATACATCTTTTCTCTTACAAAATGTATACACTCATCTTTAATTCAAGAATATGATCGCGGTATAACTTCTCGTCGACGAATCATGGATTATTAATATTTAATAAGGCCCCGCACGGTCATTCTTAAATAATATTATATGCACCTTCGTGCAATCATTAATGCTAAAATCCTACGTTCGTCATAAAAATTTCATTCCTTGGTCGATAAGCAGCAGCCTTCGCGAATTCTCATGCTTTACGCGCAACACACAGTTTCTGGTTAAAATTATATTGCAAGTTATCTTGGTTACTATAGTAAATCGCGTAACTGCTCCGAAAGCATGGAATGTTATCCAGGTTACAAATAATATATGTTATGCTATATGTACTTTTAATATTATTAGGAACGTGGAGGCTTTAATTGTAGCACGTCGGGATCGAGCAGCGGATTACTGTCAGCTTCCGTCTCCGTCGGTTTGTTCATGTTGTTCACGATAAGAGACGATGCGCTGTCCGTGTTGTTATAAGGAGAGAAACCTGCCCATTCCATGCCGAGATATATTGGACTACACGGTGATTCCAATAACAGGTGATCCGAGTGTTGCGACTGGTGTTGCTGCTGCTGTTGCTGCTGCATCTCTTGACAGTCCGACGGTGGTAAGTGCGACGATGTCATATGAGTTGCGATCTTACACTGCTTCTCTTGCTTGCGCCATTTCGCTCTTCGATTTTGGAACCACACCTGTCCGCGAGGAACGTTATACTGACACAAATTCTTTAACAGATACTCCAAGTACATCTACGTACGTATACTGTTAGGGAAACATGCGTACTTGCACTCTAGCTTCGGTCAATTGGATACGAACTGCGAGTTCCTCCCGAAAGAACACGTCGGGATAATGAGTCTTCTGAAAAGCACGTTCCAATTCCTCCAGCTGGAAATTGGAAAATGTGGTGCGGTATCTACGCTGCTTCCTCTTGCCGATGACGCAGGACGGTCTCTCTTCGCTCTCAGGACTAGTCGAGAAATCATACGCTACAAGAAGACACAGTTTATTCGTCGTGACGATGCTGTTCCCGGTTCCCGACAAGATCGTCTCAATACTACAACGGGATGTCGGAGTAAACGTCGCGAAGGATCAGTAGCGTTTGCCACGGTTCCAGCGCGGTACGAGAATCCGTCACGAAGCGATTCCGCGGGCACGTCGGAGTGGCAACCGCTTCATAACTTAAACTGATTACCGCTAATTCTATTTAAGAAAAAGGGTTGACTGCGGATCCACTTAATGCATTTAGCAATAACTTAATTGAGCGACACTCTACCCCAACTTGGGGTACCGGCAACGGAGACGGAGGCGGTTACGTAAATCAGATCCGGGTTGGCACGCGGCGCGGCATCGCGTCGCGTCGTGTGACACTTACTGAATTTCGTAGGAAAGCAGACGGAGGTGGATTGCGCGCCGCCGATCAGACCGGTCAGGGCGGTCGACTGCAGATCGTCACCCTGGTTGACGTCGTCGGGGACACTCGTCGATGACGCTACAATCGCACCGGCTGACACCAGCGGATCGCGCGGCGCGCCGACCAGAAATAGCTGCCTGCCGCTCTCGTTTCCGCTCTCGTCCTCCTCGTTCAAATCCATCCCTATGCGAGAACTACTGGTCCGCCGAGGGAAGCCGACAGGTCGGGTACGATTGAATTAATCGCACGCGAAACGCGCGATACGATGTTCAAGTTCCGTCGACAGGAAGTTCGTTCGCATTCGAGTTAACTGCGCGGCGACTCCTCGGCGTTTCCTCGTCCTCCGTTTTCTTCGAGGGTTTTTTTTCTTTTCCTTACGCTTGTACAACGCGTATAAGCAGAGTAGGGGACAGAGTATACTCAAAGTGAACTCCCTCAAGGGGTGTGGTGAAGCCTAAAAAATGTGTTGCTTGTGCACCACTAATCAATAGCGTACGGCTGTTATAGTACGACCGTGCGATGAAGTAAGTTGTAGATCTCTCGCCGATCTTTATGACGAATCAACTCCGCGGATTTGCACGTACGCTCTGCAATCTTCTAATCACATTTTTGTGACAGCAATCTCTCCCTCGGCTGTTTATCAAACTGTAAGATGTAATATCTTCACATGTATCGAAAAAATGTTGAGCGCTGCATTAAATTAACTCTGCCGTTCTTTTTTACAATCAAAAACTTAAGGGATTCATTAATGATACAAAATATTATAGTTTAATAACATTATAAAAATAAAACATAAATAACGCATATAAAATGTAACTTTTTTCTTAAACTTTATTGCTCGCGGTGTAGTGTATTACAATATGTACAAAACTTATTGCGTTTATACTTAACAAATAACTAAATTACGTGCTTCAGCAGTGCAGGTCACATCCCTTACGTTCTCAAGAGTGAAAAACATATTCTAGGTACATTAGGCCTCGTTTGAAAAATGCAGTTGCTTAAAACTTAATAATTTTTAATAAAAGTTAATGATTTTTTATCGATTTGCGTGACTCCACGTATGTAGATTTCTACAAACGTATGAGATTGTCAATATCGTATCAGTAATGTACGCATAAGAAGTGTCTGATATAAAGGACCGCGTAGCTTGTAAGAAATTTTTCACACGTGCGTTGTTCTATTTTCACATAGAGTCTGTTCACACTAGTTGGTCCCGCGTTAAGTGCGATTATTAGGACCGTTTGGAAATCGCCTTAGACATAGAAGAGACGGACTCGACTGGTAGACACTAAGAGATCGTCATCGAAGAATTTTGTTTCTATTACGACGTTGCCGCTATTTGTAAAGGAAAACACATACAATTAATCGGATTAATTAAATAATCGGAAAAAGCAGCAAGGGTTAGGTCTCCACTTACTTCAATACGTTCGCTGGCATCATTTGACTCTCTGGTGCCGCCTGGATCAAGCTCTGCCACGTGTTAGTGCTGTTTGGAATGACAAATCCAAACTCGAAGAACCATTCTTCCAGGCAGCGCCCCTTGAACAACACCTTCTGTTCCAGACGAAACCTTTCCATAGGTTCCGCGGAACTGAAATTAATCTCCCTCGACACTGCGCGGCATCGCAGGATCTTCTTCGGTACACGCGCCTCGTGTTCCACGTCAGGTACGGATCTGTAATCGGACAAGGGGATCAGTTATGTTATGTATCTTGAAAAGAGGTGAAAATTACAAAAGCGAGGAAATTCAATTTATAGAATACGACGTTATCTAACGAAATCTATCGTAAGTCTATTCACTTTCAGCAAGATATCTGGAAAGTCGATCATACTCACAAGTCTTCGTTACCCTGCCAGAGAATCTTCCCGCTATCGGCGTCGCGCAGATTCATCCAATTACTGAACCATAATTAAGGAGACATATTCGTTTACGTAAATCAAGTCGTCAAACCGACATTCTAAAGATCTGCGTCTTTGCATCTCTGCACTGTTACACTTTAAATGCTTAAAATGAAATAAAAAACATATAATTAGACGTTGGAGAGAGAGAGAAAGAGAACGGGAAGGGATGAAAGGTATGTACAAGGAGCTCAGCCACAACTTACAAGGAACAAACGTTAGAACTGTTTGAGTTTGACGTTTCATTTCTAACCTACAAAGCCCCGCCGATTAAGACGAACGCGGAGCGATTGCGCTTAAATTAATTTTCAAATTAAAGGATACACTTGAAAGCCCTTGAGGATGTCCTCCCCGCGTGACGGCATGCTTAGGCGCGATCGCGGAACGACTTGACGCGATTATGCAAAACGGGGAAACGGCGCGTGGATTATTGATCCTCCATGCCTTCGAATCAACCATCAACTTTGAATTGTAAACACTGGCGACACTGGCGCGACGCTGCCGTGCTGAGTGCTGTGACGCGTCGGCGCATTGCAGTCGCCGAAATCCGAAATATGTGACAGTTGACAGCTGACAGCTGACAGCAGCAGTGACTCGTGACAGCAAAGATGCGTTAACCAATATCCGCTGTCAGTAATGACGTAAACTATAGATTTTGGTTACTGACAGTGAATAAATATTGAAACGCAACCCTGCTAGAATTGTATCTTGCGAAATTGACGACGAACGTTTCCCGGAGCAGTTAATTTCGAGTTTATCATCTTCTTGAATCCAAAATTTTCAATTATAACCGATTTTTAATTGCTAATGTTTAGTTTTTTATATCGATCGTTATAAATCTTCTGATTATTTACTTTCACAACACGCAAATCGAAAGTTGATTATAACTGCGTAGGAGCTTTCTTGAATATATTACTAGGTGAATAATTTGATTAGCTCCGTTTATTAGCTTCACATTTCAGGAAATTAACCCTGCAATCCGTTTTCGTTCTCGACATTTTTATTATGTGGTATTTTTGATTATGTGGTCTTTAAAAATTTGTTAATTTGAAACTGAGGATCGACTTTCAGTCACGCTTTTCGTCAAAGACGTGGCAGAGCTGTCAATTTTTCTTTTTGCACGCAATTTCAATGAATTTTTAATATCAATGTTCCGTATAATACGTTGCAGCGTGTGCGGCGACGATGAAAGGAAGGAATAAGAAGGAAGAAAGGGGATGCTTCCGGTTAAGCCGCGAGTCACCGACAATGGAAGCGCCGTGAATTGATTGTCGTAAACCGATGAATAGAAAAATTCGCGACGCAGAGATTGCAGAGCGTCTAGGTCCGGTATTCTCCAGGGAGAAATTATTTCCACCGAGATATCAGGATAACGCAATTGAGAAACGTGCAATGGGATAAACAAGAAGTTGCGAAAATCCACAGAACTTCTCTTTCTTTTACCGATCTTGTAATAAATTATCTTGATTGCGAGAATGTATATGTACATATATATATCTCTTCTTTCTGGCTCCGATTTTAGCCAAACGTTATCGTTGCATTTATTGATTCGCTACTTAATTAATTAACGTAGTTATAAATTTTCCCAGGTATGAGGGAATATCGAGGATGAGCCATGATATGAATAGCCCGTGGAATCTCTTTAATTGGATAATCGAATAATCAAAACTCAAGTAGGGTAACGTTGAATCGAGAGACAAATGGGAGGGTAATTGATAAGTGGATAATTGAGATTTAGATGGGAAGAAGAGCGAGGATTCATGCTACCTCCAGCAATCAGATTCACATGACCAACGGGTCAATATAAAAGGCACATTGTATCGAGCGGTAGAATGCGAAGGAACCGCAAAATCGGCATCCAGTGATCCGTTCAAGAAACGCTTTTGTAGACACAAATCCGATGGACAAGAATTTTGCATCTTCTACGTAGTGTCATCACTACACGTTGAATTAATAAGCTTGATTAATAATCGGTAAATCAATTAGTTTTTATACATTATTTTTGAACAATTTAGGAAAAACAATATGCGATTGTTTTTGATTTTGTCGACATATGTAGATAAATTATTAAGTTATAAACATCTCGTTTCCATCGTACCTTGCTTTTTTTCAGTATCTACAGTATTAAAATTCTTATATTTCTACCGTGGCTCGCGTGGAAAAATTGAAAGATGACGAACATATATCTTTGGAATACATTATTGTGTACCTTCATTGTGTAGCATCAGCTTCGCAGCGAGATCAAATAATCTTTCGCCCTAGATACGCGACGTATCCTCTGTAGATCCTACCAGTTATTTCGAAGATCCCTCCGACAGACGAAGGGGATGGATCTAAGCCGGTACTAAGAAACCGAAAAGATTTATTACGCACGTATGTGACGGAGAGGAGAATTTAGTGTAGGTAAAAAAAAAACTTTATCTTAGGGAAAGGAGTTGCACGATTAATGTGTTTCTTTTTTAGATGCTGCTCTCTACCCCGTTTGGCAGGCGTTCGCCAGCACCCTTCTGCACCAATACCCGAGTTTCCCCGAGTCGTCTTGCACATCCGCGGGTGTGTTTGTATACGTGAATATGTGTGCGCGGGTGGTGCTGGCCGCGGAATGGGATGGGAGATGGGAGCAAAAGGGTGAGGGTGAGGGTGAGGGCGAGAGCGAGCCGGGTCGACCGCGCAAATCTCTGCACGTACGATACACGTGTGTATGAGTGTACGTATATACATGCGCCGTTTCCATGCCGCTCTTGTACATGCGTATCCGCGAGGGTGGCGAGGGTGAGATCGGGGACGATGGGTGGCTCGGTGACGTCAGTGCTGAGTGCTCTGATCGTCAGTTGCGCAGAGACGGGGTTGGTCACCGCGAAAGCGCGTCGCGCTACGTCAGAATGACGGGCCGAGCGAGCAGCAGCCGTTAAACCACCCTCTTCGGGATCGGGGTTCTCTCTCTAGGGGTAAAGACAACCGTTCTAGATTCCCGGCGATCGTGTCCAGGCGTCGTCGCTGGACACCGCGGTCCATGTCGTCGCGCGGTAAGTCACGCGCGCGCAGCATCCCGATAAATCGCTTCCGTTCTCTTCTGCAGAGGGGTGCGCGAGCATGGGACAGGGAGCGGTGTCGTGAAGCGAGGCGGAAGGCGCGTGTCGTCCGCGCGCGCGTGGTCAACGGCGGCGCGACCCAGGGTGGCCGAGTGCCGGCGACGATGGCGAGTTCGGGCTCGGCGGTCGACGGGGTCGGCGACGACGGCACGGCGGGCGGCGGGCCCAGGAACCCCCTCACCTGCGGTGTCTGCCACAATTACTTCAACGAGCCCTGCCTGCTCTCCTGTTTCCACACCTTCTGTGCCCGTTGCTTACACGGCCCGCACATTGACGGGACGATCAAGTGTCCCCTCTGCGGGTAGATATAACATGTGACGGCATTATTGCTCCTTGACGCCTTTCGCCTGAATATCATTTATTCTTGACGTTTTGTTTATAATACTCCTTTTTACTTTTCGACGAACAAATATTTCTTTTAGTTATGATTATATTTCTATTTGTGTTACGGCTTTATAATTCTCTTTATGACATTATGAATGATGTGTAATAATACCACATTATGTTAATATTTCACTGTAATATGTCCACAGGCAACAGACACAGTTGAAAGATGGGGCGCAACTACCACCTCCCGATCAGCTGATACGCCAATTAGTGGAATTGGCAAATTCTGAAAATCCACCGTGTGCCAATTGTGACAAGCGCGATAAGTCCACTATGTTTTTCTGTACAACATGCGGTATGTTTTTGAAGAAAGGAGATATCTTTTTCAACTAGTATCAAGTTATCCATAGAATATAAGAAGAAAGTGCTATACATTTACAGGACAAGCGCTTTGCACCCACTGTAGAGAACACACCCACCGCGCGAAGATGTTCTCGACCCACGAGGTGGTGCACATGAGCAAGTGCGCCAAAGACACCCAACGTCGTTGTCCGAGTCACGGCGAGCAGTATATAATGTTCAGCCAGAGCGCCAAGTGTATGCTGTGCACTACATGCTTCCGCGACACGCCTCCGGACGCGCGGGTGCACTGCGTGGATATCGAGAGCGCCTGGCAGCAGGCCTCGAAGAAGATGGAGCGCGCGGTCAACTCCATCTGCGAGCTCCAGGCCGGCATCAAGGACGGCGTAATGGCCCTCAAGTCGCAGCTGGACGAGCTGCGGCACAGCCTCGAGTCCGAGAAACGCGCGTTGACCGCCTTTTGCCACGGTATGCAGGAGGCGATCACCAAGACACACGCGTACGTCCTCGCGGAGTTGCAGCGTCAATTCGACAGCAAGGAGCGCATGGTGCGCTCGCAGTTGCTTGCGCTGGGTGGCGCGCTACCCGTGCTGCAGATGCACCTGATGCTGTGTACCGCCTTCACCACCGGCGCGACCAAGTATCAGTTCCTCGAGCTCGCGCACCCGATGCTGGAACGACTGAGTCGCGTCGCCCAGCTGGGCCATCCGTCGCGGCCGCCTCTACTCGCGGCACACATCAAGACGACGTATCGGGTTGACTTCGCGCGTGCCCTACATCCCTACATAGGTCAAGTGCAGACGCCCAAGGCCACCGCCGAGTCTCTGTACGATCAGATGGCCGGCGGCCATACGATAGGCCAGTCGGAACCGCAGGTGCTTCAGGTACGTGCGAGCAAGGCAAGCAATCGCACAGTCGATGATTCTTCATCATCGTGATCGTTCACATTCGTATCACAAGTTTCGTTTCCGATGTCATCCTCGCACATATTTTCGTGTATGTATCTTTTGTTCGCAGGATTTTACATTCGATGTATGATGTGTGACTTTGTATTTCTTTAAGTAGAATATATATATATATATATATATATATATATATCGCGTAATCCTTCGGCAGGATCATTCACGGATCATTAGACAGAGTCGTACGTGATAATTGAGAGTTAACACAGTACGTGATTGTAAGATCGCTGATATATACCATTCGCGTTTTACGCCAGGAATATGTTTTCCCAACAGAGCAGCAAGACTGCTCAGAGGTTGCCGCCGAAGAGCGGATCTGACGGCGGTCCGTTCTCCAATCATTGTCGGACCTTCGACACGCAACTGAAGGACCTGAGCCAGCAGTTGATGACGGTGAGGGAACGGTTGGGCGAGTTGCAGAGGGACGTTTCCGTTTTGAAGAAAGCGAACACTCCGCCACTGGGTATGCGTTACGACCATGTGGCAAGGGATTGCCGCTTACTCGAACAACAATTGGAGCATCATCAGATGGAACTGGAGCGACTGAGAAATGTCTTTGACGCGTTGTGGGAAGAACAAATGTGCAGGATTCACATAGAAAAGGAGATTTTCCATTCTCAGGTATGCTCTCCCAGCCAATAAGTTAGATTCGCGGTTGCGTCTCTCTTACCATTGTCTCATTTACCATTTAATCGTATGTTATTTCTATTCAGATGAATGACATATTATCGCTGAGGAGCGAAGTGAAAAAGCTGCAAATATTCGCTCAGGAGCTGGAGCCCTTCGTCAAATCATTCTCGACAGGCATCAGCGCTGGGGAAGTGAGCATGGCCGCGGCAGATGCGGCCAATAGTCAACATCTGCAAGCGTTGCTCGATCATCTGGCGCGCATCCAGATGCAGGAGCCGCCACCGCACCCACAAGCTCAAGCACCTACGAAGGATCATCGTCATTTACGTAGCACTGCCACGAGTGCCGATAACGCGCTGTACATGAAGGGTAAGAAAACATATGATCTCAGATGTTCCTTAGATCGCCTTAAAATAATAAAAGCATCTAATATTTACGCATATTTAAATGGTAATTTAATTAATCGTTCAGAGACGAAGGAGATCCCGACGCGATGTCGCACGCCGTCCGGCGGTGTCGGCGCCGTTCTGGACTCGAGCGGCAACATAGTCGTGTATGGAACAGCCAAATCGACCGATCCGAAGCGGGGCGTACTCAGTCAATTGATCGAGAAGGCGAGAACGCAGAAGGACGATCGCAAGAAATCGCCAGGCAGAGAGGACGGCCGCGATCGCAGTCAGAGCCGGCGTTCGCGTAAGTCGCCAGACAGCGCGAAGCCGAAGACCCCGCCCGGCAGTCACTCGTCCGGCAGTAAGATGCGATCGTTGTATCGTTCCCTGAAAGGCGGCACCGGCGACACTTCCGCCGAGGCGCTCGATCAGGCGGAAAGATGCACCGACTCGCAGCAGCCGCAGTCTCATATCGGTAAGAACGGGAGAATCGCAGGACCGTCGTGCGCAAACGAGTACTGATACATTATGACACGCAGGTCTCCCTTTGTAGTCCACCGGGCGAAATTTCGGGTTTAGACTTAGAGGCGATAAACATCCGACAGCCGAATACGTAAAGTTGCTCGCCGTTCACCGCACACGCTTATATATATACGATATATGTAAATATATTATGTATATTAAAGAAAGATTAAGAGATATATATATATATATACATGACCCACATGGCGCATTAACACATCTATCGCACATTTACCCTTACAAAGTTAAGTGTCTCGTCGTCATCTCGCAGCGAACTCACGTGCACCCGCTGTGTTTGAAGAAGATGAGACCGTCTTCTAAAAGAGTCCCGTGCTTCCAGCAGGCGACGAGGGCGAGTATCAACGAATCTCGGAGGCCTCGAGCATGGGCGATGCGAAGAAGCGTGTGCAGGCGCAAGTGCACGCGGTCCCGGCCGACGATCAGATACGAGCGATCCCAAGCAGCAAAGTCGCCAAGATCTACCCGGCCAGCGACTCCGAGGAGCTGTTCTATGGTGACGGGAAGGCGGCGAGCGATGCGAGGAGGCGACGGCGCGCCAGCTGCGACAGTCTGAGCACGACCGGATCCGGTAACAGTAGGCGATCGAGCATCGCCGATGGGACGGTAGGTCAACAATCCATCGCGCAGGACCCCCGGAAAACCCTGGTCGTTTTGATCGAATCGGCCTCACGGACGTCGTCGTCTCTCATGCAGAAGCAGCGTTCCTGGGAGACCTTCCCGCGGCCCAAGAGCAAGCGCGGCGCCGGTGGCGAGGGCGCGGGGGCCTCGTCCCTCGGCCAGCTGAAGAAAGCGGACAGCTTTGAGGGTCACGAGGAGGCGGTGCGCACCTTGGTGGCGGCCGTACACGAGACGCGTTCTCAGCGACACCATCATTTACATCATCATCGTCATCATCGTAAGAGCAAAACGAATTGAGGCGCTTTTTGTCGCTCCTTTCGCAACCTCTCCTAGCGCGTATACATATAAGACTTACGTGAGGAAATATTGTCCGCGAGATAGATATATCCGCGAGCCTATTGCGTTACAGATAGAAAAAGAAAAGAAAAAGGGAAAAGAATGATCAAAAGACTAAACGACCGTGCCCTAAGTGGCTTAAGTATACACCGATACACGTTAATTTATTAGCAACGGGAGCGTATTGTTGTGAGAGCCGACATTATCGGTTTTTCGAAGATTTTGGACATTCTATTAGTATAATAATAATATAATAATAATAATGGATATATAAATATAACGGTAATGAGAAAAAGATCTATATTCTGCGCGATGTGAAAATACAAAAGTTTTTATTATCGAGAATGCACCTTCGACAGGTGCACTCGCTCGTCTTTATATTACTTTTCGAGAGATTTCTTTGAGATCCCGATCAAACGCGTGGTATGTTTGTATTATTCCGACGTTTTTTACATTTACATTGTGTCCCTCGTCGAAGTTGTATCGCGTACGACAACGTATAGCTCTCGCGAACCACCTTTTATATAGCGATTTAATTGCATTCGATATGACGAAAGCGCCCAAGATCGGTATCGCTGCCACTGTAAATCCCAGACGTTAAAAGAGGCGGAAGAGAAAGAGAGCGTCATATCCACTACTCGTGTTGGGTCTGTTTTCTATTGCTGAACTGGTTTATCTTTTTTACTCCACATTAGAAGGAAAAAGATAAACTCTGTGAACTAGTGCAGCCTGTTCAGCAATAGAAAACAGACCCATATTGTTGACACGATCTGCCTGGGGCAGTTGATACATGTAGAGCCTTGATTAGGGATAAATAGCGGGAAGGTTCTTCGGACAAAAATGCGCGTGTGCAATGTACAATAATTGCAAAAGAACCGCGGTTGACGTTGCAATCTAAACTATATACAGACAAATGCCCATTTCGTTCTGGGCGCACATTATCTCGATTTCATTATTACAAAAGTCCTGTTCTCGCGTGTTCCCATCTCTCCGTTAAAACATGCGGATTTATTCACACGGTGCACGAGATTCTTCCCTTGAACGTCAACAGGTCGGATGCATAGTCCAGTAAAGTACGTCGCGCAATTCGATCGGTCGAGTAAAAAGGTCGAGTAATACTTTAGCTAGTAAACAACACTGCCAGTCGCGCATATTACGACGTTAATCGACGATACTCGATTCGCGAAGAATAGCCTACGTCGAGCGTTTATTCGTAATCTCGCCAGTCGCATCAATAAAAACCACCCGGTGTGATCACGCGGGCTTACGCACGATTATCCACGTATCGACTATAATGTAACGATAATATTCCACGATTACTGCAAACGGGGGGCGTAAGGATAAATCGGTATTACGAGGAATCGGCTCCTCCATGTGAAAGTCAATGCGATCGTTAATCGTTGTTTCGAATTTAACTACGAGCGAAGATTTGTAATCTTCAGCAGGGTTACAATGAACGTTCTAATTATAGCGAGTGTACACATGTAAGCATGTATGAGAAATGTCGACGTGCTGGTATAGTAAAATATATACAAGTTAATAAATATACCCTTGATTTCTATACCGTATCTTCCGTCTATTGAAAGCGATCCTCGTTGCTCGCTTCAGTTTTACATCAAGTGCTCGCGGTTGTATGTACATACATGTATAAAAAATAGATACATGCATATTCGGTATTCCCACTTGTTGAATTTTACAAAGCAGATTAGGAATTTCCACTGATGAAATACGAGACACCATTTTGGCCTCCAACGTTCACAATTTGTCGGACGTAATATAGCGACGATATATTGTAACAGTCTCCAATTAATTAATCTGATAACTGCGTGTAATATTTTACGCGTATTTATTTGAGGCTAATATACGTAACGTGATTTATACGTAATTATCGATTTTATGTACATTTCTCTTCTATTTTCACATATTATAATACACACGATAGTACACACGATCGACCGCATTAAAAGTTCTCCCCGTCGTTTTTGCTCTCTTTCTTCTTCTCAAGTAAAATGTCTCTATTTTTCTGACACCACCACTATAGATAATACCAAATCATTGGTATAAAAAGGAAAGTGTCTCATACAGAATATATATACAGCGTACGTATTTCTGCAGAGATAAAGTACACATTTTGTCGCTATTCATTCGAGTATCATACTGTTTCTTTCTTCTTCGTTTCTGTCTCATCGATATTGACTTCGCTAACTTCGAACTTGTCAGAAATTTCGTAGGAATGATTCTCCGGGAATTTTTCTTCGATACGTTGTTTCTCCGTGCTGTTCAATTTCCTCTGATTCGTGTTGCCGTTATTTACTTTCAATAAAGTCATGATACCCCAGCAGCTACTTGTGGATTTGTCGGCAGTCTCTAGCGCGTAAATCGCGTCGTGCGACATCGAAATTATGCGATTCACCTCATAAAGGTTTACATTTTTGCAGACGTTCAACGTCGTTTCTAAGGGATTGGTAATATGGAGTGCCGAGCGTGACGGTTTTCGAATCTGCGTACCCTCGCGAATGCATATCCCATACACATTAAAATCGAACGTCGAATAATACTCGAAGAAACCATGCAGAAGCGTCTCCAGAGTGTCCTGATTCGGCTTATATTTGTAATCGGCTGGCAATTTGTTAATATCCCGTAAGAAAGTGCAATCGATGCCATTCTCTGCGCAACGAATGTCACTGCGCGCTGTGCGAGAGAAAAGAAGATGCACGTTACTGGCTGGACGTTATATGTTATATAACCCTTTTATTTATGATAAACGTCACTTACTTGCATACAATTTCAACGTTTTTAAGGACGGCAATATTTTCTTCTGTTGTAAGTAGAACAGCACCAGCAACGTAAGAGGGAAGTTTGTTATCCATTGCCCCGGTACATCGGACGTTATTTCCTGACTCTTCGCCCATACCCGTATCGCTATAACAAGCGGTCTTACCCGCCAATCTATCTCTCCGTACAAATTTAATAATTCGGTCATGTATATGGCAGTCCTGAAAGAGATAACTCAGTATTAAGGGTTGTATATATCTTATTTTTAAAAGAAATACTTTTCAACTTACATATTTGTCGCACTTAAGTCACATTCAGTATGCGTGTAGTCGTAGCGGAATTTAATTATAGGTACTCGAGCCTCCAGGATCTTTCTTACATTGAAAACTCCAGGGATGAAGTGCTGCATGGTATTCGCAAGTATTCCCAGAAACTCTTTTGTTTCAGTCCTATCGTTATGCCTCATAGATTTCGAGTGAAATACTAATCTACTCGTGGCATTATGCTGTAAATATTACACGTCGTTGGCATTTAGTATTACAAGTACGTGAGTAGATTTAACTGATTCAAATATCGTTTATATAATTTACTTCTTCACTGTCGTCGGGAACAAGAACTAAATCAAGATCACATCTTTTCCTTCCGAAACCATTTACAGAAGAGCCGAATGGCAGAACTTTCATATTCTGAAATAGCCGAGAGAAGTAGTGCTCTAAGTGGTGAGCGGTGTGAAATCTTAGTCTTACTTCTAAATCAGTCAGTTTCAGCGCCTCATAGAGAACTATTATCTGTCCTGATATCTGCGAAACGGAGATTACGAGTTTTACAGGGCTAAATGTCTCAGATACGTCCCACTGTAACATAACATAACTATAATAATGTTAAAGAAACCTACCGATTTCGCGTTATATAATAGCTTTACAATTTCCTGGTCAGTAGGCAACGAACAACCATTCTCCACAGACAGGGTTGTCTTTTTCTTACTATTTCTCTGTAAAGCAGCAACTTGTCCTTTACGGAACCACAACACCGACGATTTTACGGGAGCAATGTAATCTCCGTTTACAAAGGAAGCAGACGACATAACTTCATTTATCGACGATATGTCTTCAAACTCGACCAAGATATAATTCTAAACGTAGTCAAACAATATAGTATATCTTTATAACCGTATTTACGTATTAATATCGCATATAACTTTGGATAAATATTGAGCAGCACCTGACATACATGCTGACTATTTATTTGATAGTGATGCATACTCAAGACGTCTCCAAACCGTGAGCAATAGTTATGGAGATCGTTGTGTGATTTCGATGAGTATACTTGTATCAATAAGCTTCGACATGCCTGGTTTCTTCTCTTGATGATTTCAGCCTCGAGTCCGACCGCTTCTGTATCTGTAAACGTGCCAGATGGAAATATAGATTGTCCTAGTGCGGAAAAATATAAATAACCGTGAAGAGAGAAGGATTTAATAGATATTAATTCATGCTGCATCCAACACAATTACATTAATAAATTTCTCTGAAGAGAACTACATAATATTTGCGAGCTTATAGGTTATATATTGTAAACGTGTCATGTGACTCACTTTGTTTATTGTTCCTGTGTTGCAGGATGGTTGACGATATCGAGAGGCGATTGCGCGATTTTAATCTATTCGTGCCCATCATGAACTTTTTGCAATAACAGTGATTTAATAAGGAAAAGGCATTCGAATTAGCACGGCTAAAGAGCGCCATTTTTAAATGTGCGCATAGCACGTGTGCCAATACTGCCAACTGCCGCCCACGTGCTGCCAATGCAAGTAGTCGTATCTTACATTTATTAGAAGATAATGCGGCTGCTTCAACAGAATATGTTCCTTCTTTAATTTTTTAAATTAAGAATGTACGTAGTAAATGCCACCTCTTGTCCGATTGTTATCCTGAAATTTTGCCGAGAATCTTTAAACTTTTCTCGGTCCTATACCGAAAGTCGGTAATTATCCGCGGTCGATAAACAAATTCGATCTGTATACACTTGACAATCAGTAATAAAAGCTTGATGCATAACGAATAACACAGGCAATAGATTTTCAATCTATCAGAATCCGTATCAATGTTATATTTGTGTATTTGACAAAAATATAAATCTCATTATACCTATACTTTTATAAATTTTAAGATTGAAATAATAAATTAAGTTAAGCCTCGTATTTTCAAAGCAAAGTGGAAAAGTTGTAGGACAATAAACGAGTAAGATAGGATATTATCGCATAAAATATGATTTATTATCATCTAAACAGATAAGATTTGATGGAATGTTTCCAACTGCACAGAGTTTTCTTCAGTATTCATTGGTTCCGCCATTTTCGGTTAAAGCCAATGAGTGTAAAGGGGGGAGGGGGTACTGACCAGACGTCTCAGCGCCCCCAGCGGGCCCAGCGGCCCCAGACGGTTGCTAGAGGGACTCTACTTCTACTTGCAACGGGCGGCCGCCGCACTAGTCGGCACTAGTTTGACGTTTCCGTCACGATCGAGTGAGCGCGAGCGCTGAGCCGAGCGGCGAGCGGCGAGCGGCGAGCGGCGAGCGGTGCGCGATCGCAAGCAGCGGCGGCGGCAAGCAGAAGCAGCGGCAAGTCGTCAGACGTCAGACATCAACCGTCAACCGTCAACCGTCAACTCGTCAGTGTCAGTCCGGTTAGTCTCGTCATCTCGGTTTGTTTTGCGCGCCTACGCGCTTTCGGCGACTACGGCCGGGCCAGCGGCAACACGTCGACGATCCCCTCGACGTCCCTTCCCTCACGAGCGACGGTCGTCACACCATCGTTCGCCTTCTCATCTGTATGCCTTGCGTACGCCCCCACCGTTGCCGATTTTCCATGAGTAAGTTATTTATTGATTTCGAAAAGGATACTCTTAATAACTCGCGTCACGAGTCACACGAGTGTCACGACGACGACACGACCGCGACGGTGACGTCGGGAGGGTGTATCCGTGACGACGGCGCCGGCGGCGGTCTCCGCGGTCTCCGTTGTCTCCGTTTTCCCCAACGACGGTACCGCGGACCGCGACGTCGAAACGGAGGCTTCTCGTTTCTCGTGCCGTCCGGCCGCACGTTGTGCATCGCGATATGTAATCTCGTGCCACAACGCTCGTGACGCGAACGTATACCGTGAAATCGGTCCGTGCGCTCGGCGGTCCGCTTCGAGGTCTATTTCGAGTCTTAGGCCCGATTGTTCTAACCTGTTGGTAAACTAACTAATAGTTAAATCATATATATGTCTTTGTTTATCCTTTACCTTAGACAAAGATAGACATATGATTTAACTATTAGTTAGCTTACCAACAGCTTGGAACAACCGGCCCTTAGGATGGGTATTATCCCGAAGTCGCGTGTATGAAATGGCAGGTTGATGAATACCTGCACACCTGCACACATGTGCGATGTGCATCGCAAATGTGCAGTATATATGTAATGTGTACCGAGCGAAACGGGAAACGAGATCGTGGAAACTGGATTAAATCGTTCCCGCGGCGATTCATATAGTTTCAGTCATTATAAGAATGAGGATAAATCAAGGTCCACGCATCCGTCTCCTTCTACTCTTTTATACTTTGACAGTGTAAAATTATGTGTCTCTTGCATTTGGAACATTACGATATATTAGACGTGCAAGAATAACGTGCCTTTTATCTTGTTTGTAGACGTTTTTTGCTTCTGAGAAATTAAACTCTGCGATATACACGTAGTGATAAATTAAAGACCTTTTTACAGAGTCAGACGTTGAGGACACCAGGGAGTGATAAAAGTCTGATTTTTTTTAATTGACTTGTCATGCCATCTTTCACTGATAACGCTTTTCTTGACAACAACTGCAAAAGTTCTTTATTAGTAACGATGATAGGTGATCTTATCTAAGTCATTATTTAACTGATTGAGATAATGATAGAGATTTGAGAGAGACACGTCTTGGGAGTAATACGCTTGTACACTAGATTTTTTTATGAAACATTTAGTCTTATATTTTTATGCGTGATTGACCAAACGTCTGTTTGTATGCATTACAGATGTTGATATTGTCTTCCCACAGCCATTGGTAATGCAACGATCCTTTCTTGATCTAAAGTCTGCAAGATGGTTCTCATCGTCCAGTTCCAATTTTAGCTGAGATTAATACAGAAATGTAAGCAGCGACTAGATATTTACAAATGACAAAGGGCATTTGTTTTTATATTATTTATAAATAAGTACATATGAAATGTATACGTGTAACAAGTACGTTAATCTGCGTTATTAAAGTATTGCAATATGACGTTATAACGTTGAATCATTATATGAACGTAAAGTAACGCTACACACAACATGCATGTAGATTTAATGCATATATATGTATAGGTTTAAAATCTATTACATCCGTACGTTGTATGGCGTGATACATGTAACGTTACGTTCCGTGAAAATGCATATGATAATAAAAAAAAAAGTATGTAATCCCTATGTCAATGGATTTTAGATGAATGTTGTTATATATATGGAAAATACACGTTGCAATAAAATATACAAATGGATTTGCTTTTGTAGAGCGAAACGAATACGGTCCAGCTTGGTGGTAATGCGGGGATGTGGATCTGCTTTGACCCGATAGGAAGCCGAATAGGCTGGGGTTCCATTTCGTTCGTCGTGCTGTTGTATTGGACCTCTATTACCATCGATGCCAGCCTAACGAATGCAGCCGCGTCCAATGTCCCTCGTAATACCGTCACGTCGGAGATATCGGTACCAGCGTCGGCACATCACGAGAACGACGAATGCAGGAATGTGACCACTGACAATAGAGAGGGTACGATTTCGGGTTCGAAGTGCGATCACTTAGCACTACTTTATCGACGAAATGTGTGACTCTCATGTTTGTACAGGTACTGGACTGTCAGTGGTCAGCCATGGATCCGGTTATCCTCATTCGCCGATAGTGCCTCCAACCTTTCTGTACGGAGCTCTTACCTGCCAACCCTATCAAGGAATTTACGTGAATCACATCTACTTTCAACTCGCAAATGCCTTCTTCCTATTGTCACACCTTGCACCAAGCGGCATACATGGTGTGCTCTATTTAAGGTGCACTCTACTCGTGGGCTGTGCCTTTCTTGCTTTGTGGGGCTGGACAATAGCTTGCTGGCTGGATGCTGCTCTCTGGAATGCTCTCTTTGTTGTCATCAACTTCGTCCATGTATGCACGCTTCTTTACAAGCTCAGGCCTATCAAGTTTACAAAGGAAATTGAAGAGGTAAGCGAAGATCAAGTAGAGGAAGTAATGATGTGAGGGAGTATTAATTATTTACAAAACTGATAGAGAAAAGAACAGGCATAGCACACGTTATTTGACATGGCTCATTTTTATTTATATTTTTCAAAATTATTATGTATCTTATGAATAGGTGTATACTAGAAAATCTTGAGAAGTAGTACAGTACAGTTAGATATATGACTCTATGTAATTTGCTTTCTGTTTGACCGCAGCATCTGTATTATACACAAAAATTTCTGCTTTATTTTTGCACTGTTATTATATTATTACTTAACTATATTATTACGAATGGTACTTAATTAATATTTAATCCCTATCAGAATATAAAATCTGTCTATACTATTTAAAAGAACCTGTTTTTTTAATATTCGTAATTAATGAAATAATAATTAGTAATATATTTATAGTACAACGTAGATAAAGTTTCGTTTGAAATCCTTAATGTGTATTTATTTCAAATAAAAATGTTTCACAGTCGTCTTCTTTCACGTAGGTATACGTTGCAGTGTTCCAGCCATTACGAGTGTCTCGTCATCAATTCAGAAAAGTATTAAACTGTATGAAGATCATTCGCCAGTTGAAGTATCAAGAGGTTTATGCACAAGAAAAAGTGACCAAAGTCGATTCTTTATCATTGGTGCTGTCGGGAAAGTAAGACTGCATCTTACTTAAGTTCTTTAGGTTTATTTGTTGTTATAAGAACTCTCTAATATAACATCATATTTTTATTTTTTTGTTCTTTGTAGACTAGTTGTCTCGCAAAATGGAAGAGCATTGCATATCGTCTTCCCACATCAGTTCCTGGATTCTCCAGAATGGTTTGGTGTCTCAACAGACGAATACTTCCAGGTAAATTGTTCGTCGATATGTTCTTCATATCAGCAAATTCTTTTATTTTAATATCTTTGTCTATCCGACTCGATAATTCCGATATGCCGATATAAATATTTGATATTACGTCATATTTGCTTAGGTGTCAATAACAGCTATGGAGGAATCAAGGATATTATTATGGCATAGAGACAAACTAAAATTAAGCATAATTAGCGATCAATTCCTGCAGGCAGTGTTTGATCACATTTTGGGCAGAGATGTAGTTAAGAAATTGATGCAGGTACAGTTTATTTGTTAAGCACATTTTTTTTTTTTATTACAAAAATATGGAATATCTTCTATATAATTTATTAAATTGTAAAATTGTTAGAAAGCTCTTAATGAAGATTTTCAATATGTATGTGTATTGTTCTATTATATTAATTTTTTTATTTTATAGGTGAGTGAAACGATGGCTGCTAGCAGTCATCAGCAGCAGAATGGGCAGATAATTGGTCTGGGTGGTATTGGAGCCTTAGAAAATGACGCGGATACAAAACTTTTTGTTGTAAAAAAGACTGGTGATAGTCAAGGCATTACTGCTCTCATCAGTCGTCAACTTCAAGGTATGTATGAACTTCTATCTGTAGTTTTTATTTTTACCAACATTGAAGAATTCAATCAAAATCGTGTATGATAAAATTGTTTATCTTTTTTGTATTTGAATTTTTATTTTTATCGATATGCTAATTTTGGGACACCATACATATCTTCTTAAGGCAAAAAAGACTATATCTTGTATATTTTTTTTATTTTTGTCAGCAATCTCTTATAATTAGTAAAATGCACATTTCCCATATTATTCGGGCATGCGCATGTTTTGTATGTATCCAGTTTTTTTTTTACTTTTGTAGTATTCTTGTGTTCTCAACACTTTCATTGTAATTTTAATTTCACGGTAGATATAATTTTGCTCATTATATATATTTTTTCTGGCTTGTCATGTTAAGATTTTCGCTAATGTTTTATACAAATAATGGCTATTTGCGTACATAGACGTATGCAAATCTAATAAATATAAATATAAAGCAATGTCAGACAACATTAAATAAGAACACAATTGATTCTTTTGTTTACAAAGTATGCATGCGCACACTCACACATTATTTTATACCTTTAATCTAATACTCCGTAATATTTTTTATTTGAAAGTAATACGGTTTCAATTATGTCTATTATATTTGTCAAGATGTAATAATGATTTATACGTGCCATAGATTTTTGTATTTATTTATATGCACCTTTTTTGTAATTTTGCATCAACTTTGATTTTGCTTTGGAAATAGAAGAGCGAATGCCGTTGCTGTACACGAATCAAGAAGTACTGAATAACACCCTTCACCATACGAACCGCCTACGTGTACCACCCTGTACATTACTCCCACCCCCTATGTCGTACAACGTTCAGACTTCGTTGTAATATCCTTGCCTACCGATCGTGCAACACTCTAGCACAAAAATTGTATGTGATGTACATATTATGTTCCTGCAATGGATGCATATGTATTACACAAATGTCGCAGAGTAATTCCATTAATTGTTCTTCCTGGATATTGTACCAAGAGGTGAGTTTTTCTATGCCTTCGAAAATTTTTATACATGACAAATACATGTAAAAAGCAATACCTATAAAGCAGATATGTTAAGCACACATGTTTTCAAAAATGTTAATTTTGAAAATTAAAAGGGGAATATAATATATTAATATTTAGAAATTTAGATGCATATTACAAGTCTTAATTTTTATCACATTTACAATTGATTTGACAGTATTATAAAGATATATATTTCTAATATCCATATTACTGTTATTACTACAACTTTCTTATAAGTGAGAAAGTGCAACTGTGGTAATAAGTGATATTTTAGATATGTTTATTTCAAAATTTGTTTATTTGTTATTTGTTTCTCTTTGCATGACTAAAAGTTATTTAAAAAATGTCTCTTAACTTACAGCGGCAGGTGACCCGAATGCTTGGAGATTGGGAAGAATCGAAGAGACTGATCATGAAACACCCGTTTAATGGAATGATTGTTAAATCGATGTCATCCTCGACAGTCAATATAACGTAACACCGGTGTTTTTACATAATGCACGTACAGCAAGCTGATATTTATTGTGACGAAATAATGTGCATATTGAAACTGTGCGTAGAAAAATCGAACATTCTCTTGCCAATTAATAATTTTCCCAGTGGCTAGTCAACCGTATGCGATAATATGAGAAAATTCCATCGTTTTGTAGCGTATGATGAATTCCATTCTAGCTTATAAAGCAACTAATCAATAAGTTTATGCTTCCAGTGTATTTGTTGAGTATATGCTTGAACATATTGAATTTATAAGAGTGGCTATGTATAATTTTACTCCGGTAAAGTATTTCGGTATGTTCTACGATGGATGAATAATGGATTAAGATTTTACAAGTATGCAAGTGTAATGAAATGAGGGTGACATGTTGACACAGCGGCGTAACTTCTGTTTATGCAAGGTCTGTGATGTCGCGGTGGGACTTGATAGAAGTCTGGGGCCTAAAGAAACTGATTCTTTCCCATACCCGGAAATAGTGCCTTTTTACTTACACTTCCTTTCTTAATGTTTCCATGGAGAAAATATGTATAATATACTGCTATATGCGCCATATGACTTATATATATTTATCCAATGTATCTAGTAGAGTTCTCCAAATGTCGCTGTATTACATGTTTGAAGATTCATGTTGTGATACTGTTAAGCAACCGATGTTCACAAGTCAAAGAGGCACAAGAAGTTACGCCATTATTAACGCATTGGACATTACAAAGTACGATATAAAGGACATTGTTGCGAGATTTATATCGCTACATTGCTGCTAGAGACGCCGAATGCCGAATCGCGTATATAACTTTCGATACTTAACGTAAAAAGTTATTATAACGTGATACAAGATAACGTAATTATGATCAATGCATTGATAAACCTAACATCAAGTTGATTATTTCATTATTATTTTATTTGTTTACAACAGTGCGTATAATAATAATTGTTTTATTTATATTTATATACGTGGGTAAGCGAAAGTGAATACTTGACGTTTATGTTATGTAAAACAAATCGAGAGAAGGTGCTTAAGAAATGTCGATAACGTGATCGCGAGTAAAAATAAAGACAGCAATCGGAATAATGAGATTTGAAGTGAAAAAATTTTGCTTTTAATGATTAAAATATTTTGGTAATCAAACTATTGAATAAATAAACACTTTGGAAACAACTTTATTTAATCTTTAGAAATATCGCATTGAAAATTAGAAAACTGTTAAAAGGTATCGATATTAAGCCCACTTAAAGTTGTAATGCATACTTTAAGAAGACTTTTTATATATGTAAAGTCATAGTTCTCTGAACAACACACATACATACATATTCTATTTCGGATATTACCGACAGTTTATCACACGATGTAACACGTATTCTGTATTGTATACAACACACGTATACCGTATATTCGTATAACGATATTTTGAACCGACGATATCATTTTACGTAGCGAAGTACCGAAATGTAGGGAATGCCTTTTGATATGTATAAACGTGAAATGTAGGACCAGATGATCGAGTTAGTATTTTTTGTATATGAACCATCTATAAAAATAGACGAGTTTATTGCTTTCTATGTGAATGTGAATTATATATATTATTGAATCTTTGTTATTATCTCTGATTGTTGTTACGATTATTTTTGTACGTGAACGTGTTTTTAGTATGTAGTTAGGGATAAGCGGAGAATGGCTGATGAGAGTTTGAGAAATTTAAATCATATTGGATACAAATAAGAATGCATATAAAATGGCAGCGCGAATAAAGAAAGTTAGTTTTAAAAATGAAAGTACGTTTATTACAATTATCTGTCTCATTCCTTTTTCTTTCTCTATGTGAAATGTACAACGCAGTATGCGACATAAGGGTAATCGAAGAAGCAAGGGTACGATTTAATAATTCCAGAGCCGGACGCTTGTTTAAAATGGCATATGATACAAATGACAAAACGCCGGAGAATATACGCATTCATTTTTTAAAATAAATTTTCTCCTGTTATTCTCACGTATTCTTCTACAACTTAAATTTAATGTCTTTCTGCTGCAGTTTTCTGCGAGAGAAATGCTAGTTACATTCATATATTATTGTAACAGTAAATAAAAGGAGGAACATCATTTTCCTTTTCCTAACAAAAATACGAGTGAGTTCCTTTTGCCGCACGATTGAGAAGAATGCAGGTAACTGTAGCAGCAAAATATAGCCTATAAAAATATTTACTGTCAATTGAAATCATGGTACTCGGATTATTTTTATTTAATACTTCGCTGTGTGCGTCAAATTCCTAATTTCCTAATGATCAAAATTGTAATTCTTGGAACTTTGAAAAATTTTTGCACGTTCCGATACGTGCAACCTCCTGATGCTTTGTTGATTTTCGTGAGTTTAAACTTTTGTATTAAAATCTCCAAACTTAAAAATTATTATTTTAAACACTTGGAAATTTATATTATTAAAGATACTGCACATATGTATAGATCTTATATGCTTATTAACAATAATTATATAAAATTATGTATATATATATATATATATATATATATATAAAACAAAATTATCTCTTCTCTGTTTATAAATATTATATCTATATATATCGGAGGTAGACATATAGAGAAATGTTTTACCGCCTTTCGTTACGCATGTTTTATTGGGCGCGTTCAGCAGACCAAGCCGCTCAGTAGTAGTCGAACGTGATTGGTTCTTACTTTTAGAACCAACCAATCAACGCAGAGTGTTGATAAGACGAACTCAACAGTTGTGGTGCTATTCCGAACGCAGCCTTAGTTAACTAAAATGCTATAGTGTACGTGACGTAACTATAACATTTTAGTTAACTAAGGCTGCGTTCGGAATAGCACTTGTGTCTACTGAACGCGGCCATTGAGCTTCAAAACGCGTCGGTGTCGCGAGAAAGTGCAGCTGAGTGCAATACATAATCGTAAGGTTGTAAAAAAATAGACCAATCACAGTCGATTATTCTCCTCGCGCTTGAAGAATAATCGAATGTGATTGGTCTATTTTCTTACGGCCTTACGATTAAAATTAAAACTTTATTACGTGCAATGGCCTTTACGGACAATACGGACTGCTATTCGTCGTCGTCGTCGTCGTTGTCCGTTGTCATGCTTTCCGCTTAATTCCGCTTGGCGCGCTTTCCATTCAGTTCGCAGTCAACTAGTCACTAGTCAGTCTAGTCACTGACTATCATCCTCCGTTTTAAGATCAGTGTAGATTCGCATGGTCGTGAACAATTTTTATTAGAAGCAGAAGCGCACAGCCGGCACAGCAGCGCTGAGCAGCGCACAGTGAAGTCGCACTTCGCACTCGCAGTGAAGTCGTGTGATGCATCGCAACACTTGGGAGTGCAAATAACCGAAATCGTTAACAATTCAAGGACAAAGACCGCGATAAGACGATCCGCGATCGACGATCGACGATCGACGATCGAGGTATTGTCCTTCAGAGGACGAACTCTGTCCCGAGTCCCGAGGAAACTTATAAGCTTCAGAAAGAAGGCGATAAGAAGGCTCTGAGAAACGACACGTGGTCGTAAAGAAGAAGAGAAAGAAACGGAGAAAGTTCGACCGGCAATCATACGGTGAGTAGTGTCACAATCGTCATATATATATTCGTCGCTCCGATCGCGACGCGCGATATTCGCGATGCGCGCCACTGTTATTTGTGGTTAGGTTACTCACGTGGCGAGTACGTGTAGCGAACTTCTCTCTCGCTATCAAGACGCTTCAAATACGTCATGTTGATTTTCGAATGTTTGTTTTTTTTTCTTCAGATGGATGACGTATCACCAAAGGCGTATCCACTGGCGGAACAGAAGCTGACCCAAGATATATTGAATCTGGTGAGTCAAGCGTATAGCTACTCACAGCTGAAGAAAGGAGCGAACGAGTCTACGAAGTCCTTGAATCGTGGCCTGTCCGAGTTTATAGTTATGGCTGCGGATACTCAACCACTGGAAATCCTGCTGCACTTGCCACTATTGTGCGAAGACAAGAACGTACCCTATGTTTTCGTGCGGAGCAAGCAGGCTCTAGGACGAGCCTGTGGAGTTAATAGGCCGGTGGTAGCCTGTTCAGTAATGAGCAAAGATGGCTCGCAATTAAAACAACAGATTCAAGACATCCAAAAACGAATTGAAAAACTTTTAATCTAAATGATATCTGTATTTGTTATTTTTACACATCTCATTAGTAACACGTAACATAGATTTATTGCTACTATAAATATTCGACACAAATGAAACGCAGTTTGCAGTTTGACTACTGTGCTATTTATAAAAAAAAAATTATTTTTTACTCATCTCTTTTATGTATGAAATATTTGAAGCATTAATAAAAAGTTCAACAAAAACTTTCATGTTTTCTGTGTACGATTCTAATACTTATGTTGCAAACTATGTGAAAACTAATCTAACAATTAACGCGTTTAATAATTTTAAGAATAGTACGCGTGATTCACCCAAGTTTAATCTTTTAAAAGTTGACATCAATATATTAATTTTAGAATAAACACGTACTATACGTTTATTCACTTTTTGCGTAGCGCGAAGAGTGTAACTGTGTTGCTGATCTCACCGCAACGAAGAAATTAAATAACGAGATACTCATATTGATCCGACAAATGTATCACGCGGAGAGAAATATGTTGGTCATTGGATTAACGGACGTGATAAGCTCGATGGAACAAAACTTGACGGACGTTATTGTACTTGCCGAAAATGCAACGCATTTGACAACACCATTGGACTTTCTGACACGTTTGATAAAGTTAGCGGAGACGAAAGGTATTCCTTACATTTATGCATGTAAGAAGGAACAACTCGGTCGAGCATGTTGTATACCTAGCGGTATAAGCGTTGTTGCTGTCAAGCGTGGACCTTCTTATTTCTCAGAAAAACGTGAAGATATCAAACACGCAATAAAACGAGTATGACGTCAAGAAAATCGAACGTAACTTTGTAATGTTCGTGGTTCAGCTTTCTCTTAACATACGTGAGATCATATCTAATATTAATAAAATTATATTACAAATATTACAATACGTGTATATACATTAATACAAAAAAAATCTACTTTTTGGAAAAAAGATATTAAGTACATGATACAAAAAGTCAATGTAAACGTTAGTCTACGTTTGTGTAACATTAGTGTGGTCCATATTTTTATAAAACCAATTTAAATCTTATACTGTAACATTATAAAATCTAATGGAATATTCTTAGTAAAATAAAATATTCTTACAATTAGATACATTAATACGTGCTAGATATTAATAAATACGTATCACATCTGTGCTACTGGGAGTAATAGCATAGGAGATTACAAAGCATATGTACAAAAATTATATTAAAAAACAAAGTACCAAGTACAATGGAAATCACTCTCGAAAACAAGGCAATACATTGAATTTCCAGTTCTCGTGCCAATCATTATGGTTCTGCTGAGATGCAAACATGGTCTCTTGAAATTTTTCACGCATGTGTCGTTGTGTCTCGTTATTAGGGAAATCTCGGAACCACATTTTTAATTGTTCAGCCAGCTCCTTCTCGTCCGCGAATACCAAACTGTTCTCATTGTGTCTTACTAATTCTGATAAGCTAAACAAAATGCATTCTCTCTCTTAGTAAGCAGATCCACCTGGTACGTACATTAAATAGTATTAATGATAGTATTAATGTACCAATTAAAATTGTATGCGCAAACTGGTAAACGGCAGCCAAACATGTCGACAACTTTCATTGGTAAATCCAGTCCACTGGACGAGGTATGAAGGCATACACCTAAGTCTGCACTAGCTATTTTAAGGACAAAGAGTATTTAAAACATTCCGTCAAAAGTGTTTTATAAAAAAGAATTTTATGTTAGACTTAAAAAATCAATTTTTAATTAGCACGAATACGCAAATCCGCGAATACCTAGTATTTTGGGATAATCCTCATTCTCAAGCCATGGCGTTTTTACTGTGACGTGTTGCCAATTTTTTAAGTTAATGATAGCCATGTAGAAGTCCTTTAACGGCCCTTTGCCCGTTATCGCACAGATCAAATCTGGCAAGTTTAACTCGCTAGCCTCGCACGCGTCTTCGTATTCTATAATAAAAATTACGTATGTGTACGCCCCTTTAATCCGTGCACACTTGTACGACAAGATTACGCGAATAAAACAGATTCACCGAGATTCACCTTGTAAGGCATTTAACAGAATTGAGAAATCCTCATCCTCGGTCCAACTAGTGCTAGATACAATAAAGCCGAATCTTCTGGGCGAACAAGGTACTGATAGATCATATTTTTCAGTTAATTTACACAGAAACTCATCCTTCTCTGCCACAGTTATTGGACGAAAATTATCTGTTGGTCTATCATACAGGATTTTTGCTCTGTAATTAAAAAAAAACGAAAAAAAAATGAGTAAGCCGACCTAAATGTTTCTAACTGTAATAGATGATACTAACTGGATAGCCCATTTCTTTTCCAAATCTTCCTTCATTGCTTTGGTGACGCAGAAATTATTCTTTGCTCTGCGGCCAAACGTCGTCTCGATACGTCTCGCCAATCTAACTAGGACATGGTTCTCTCCCAGACTCAGGGCCATCAGTGAATGGGCATAATTATGCCAATCGATCGTAAACTGCGCTTGAATTAGAACGCAATAAAACCAGCATACCGGAATAGTTGGTATCGCAGGTGGATTCTGCGTTATCAGCGAATCCGATATGCGTTTGCGAAGTAACAACCATGAAAGATCAGCCGTTTGCCATACCACTTTTACCACGTAACAGAGAAGACGTGGCACGCCTGAAATAACAACAAGTACGATATTGTTATCGCTCGAGATCCATAAACAAATACGAGTAAACAGAAATCTGTGAAAGGAGCGACATAAAGTGTCCGCGTCGTACTGTTTTGCAAGTCGGGAGGCGGTCGCAGGTAGTGGAGCCGCACGCGTGCATTCTCGCTGATTTCCCTCCGCGGTGGCGAGCCAGGGTAACCTACAACATCCACGGTGAAGCCTTCCCGTGCGAAGGAGATCGCGTGGTATTGCATTCGCGGACTTCTGCCGATATCACCGAGCACCAGCACGCAAACATTCTTGCCGGATTTGAATTTTTTCAGATAGACGTTACGAGCAACAAAAAGAACCAGCGGGAGCAGTAGGAATATCAGCGTCAACATTTCGAACGAAAACGACGGAGCGTGTCCTAGCGTGACCTGCGTCGGCTGCGTGACTCGTGATTCCAGAGCATTCCAGAGTTCCGGCGGTTCAGACCATTCAGGGCGTTCGCGCGGCGGACCGTCGAGAATCGCTGGTCGATTATCTAAAAAATTATAAATTATTACGAAAGAGATGACAAAATAAGTATAGAACGTGTGTAGTTTAGCTGCGACGAATCCGCTGCAAATAATAAAACCGTTGAGCAGTGAGCTTTGCATCGGATTCTTTCCCCGTGTTCTTTTTCAGAATTCGCTTATAAAATCCGACTTGGAACGATCTGTAATGTATGTATAACCGCGGTCAGAAAAGACAGCTAGCTTTGTGTTGTGTCCACGATGTTAGAATCGCTCCAAAAGTCCAAAATCTCAGACGGAGAAAGAATTGACCACGCACATTTGAACACGTCGGCCGATTAACCATTGCACGTTGCGCGTTGCGCGTTGCGCGTGGTCAATACGTTCTGGTTCTCCCGTCCGAGATCGTGAGACGCGACTGACGCGAGTGACGCGACAATATCATACACGTCAGAGAGAAACCTGAGAGAGGCCATCCCGGTCTTTTTCGTGTGTTGCTGTGTTGCATTTTCCGACGCGCCGCCTGAGAAAGTGCAACTCAACTACGTCGTATCGCTCGGTAACCGCACATGGTTTGCGTCCGTGCTAATGTCTGAACTAGCCAGCTGGAGGGGATATTATTCTGGCCGCGGCGGCCGCGCGCTCGGCCGGCCCGGGAGTTGCATCTGATTGCACCTGTTGATGATATTTTTACCTTATTTTATATTATATTTTTTTTTACCTTATTTTATATTATATTTTTTAAATATAGATAAATCGCGCAAAAATATCTGTTCCGCGTAAACAGCCACCGTCGCCTCGATATCCCTCACGTACTGACTGTTACTACGTTTATGCGAGCGTTACTTCTGTAGTAACTTACGATACGTCCGTCGCGTAAACGGGATTTTGTAGTAACTTACGATACGTTACTCCGCGTAAACGAATGATATATCGTAAGTTACTACAGAAGTAACGCTCGCGTAAACGTAGTATGAGGGAGTTACGTAATCGCCAGGCTAATGATCACTACGTGTTCGCGATATATGTATATAACACTCGCGTTTCGAGAGACAGCTACGTCGACCAGACACCACCGAGACAGAACGCAGAACGTAGAATACAGCCAGTTAAATCTGTGAAAGTTAACGAAAGATTCGGCATACGTTGTCTTTTATTGTTCGTTGAAAGTTTTCGGTATTTTTGAACCGGCCGCGGTCGCGCGCGTAGGCCGTGACGTCATGCGCCGCTCCGCGCTGCCGGCGCGGCGGATCGATACGGTGACGGTGATGTAGTAGGCAGTGTAGGCACCTGCGCAGTCCGTACTAGCGGCGTGACCGTTGAACTCGAAAGCTCCGTACCTCGAAGATCGGCGCGTTTTCAACGTTGTTTCTGGCGATGAGCGGACTTGTCACTTGTTTCCGTCAACGCTCGGAGTAGTGTTACCTGCGTGAGTGACTCAGTTATCATTCTTCCGAGGAATCTCGCACCGGTAGGAAGTGTTTGTGCTTCGCGCGCGCTCGTCACCGACGTCACCGTGCTTCGTGCTGTTTTCGGAACGCGCTCGTTTCGGTGATTGGCATTCCTGCTTCCTCGTTTCGCGGGCCGCGGGAATACGCGCTACGCGATCGAGTACCGCGCGCCGTGTGCCGTGTGTGTAAAACAATTTAGAGTGTATGAGGTGTTTATCGGAATGAACGTGTCGCGCGACGCGCTCACTCGAGACGTCGAGGCGGAGGTATGTATGAACGACTTGCTTTGCAGTTTCGCGCTGTGATATTCGCGAGTGATAGTCGCTCCTCCTGCCATGTCTGGATTCGCGAAGAACGCTGACGTGCCGGACGTGTCGTGTGATTTAGCTCCGATTCTCTCCGTAGGGAAAAAGGGCTGAGAGATATTGATCGTGTCAAGTGATTCCGGTGATTCGATCGGTGATAACGGAACGCCGCGATACATCGCCCGTTCGTGAATGCTTCATAATCTCGATTTACGAGTTTGGTAACGTACTGTGCGTGCGATATTTAATTTCAACAGCGTATCTCTGATTGACGAAGTGCGTGTCTTTATTAACCGTCCGCTCGACTTGCGTAGTATCGCGCCAAGTTGCCAACATCTCGGAACATTTCGTCGCCCATTATTACGTCGCCCATTAACAACGTAACGCCGGTAACGCGGAACGACGCGGAGCACGCAGCGTCGCGACTCCTTCAAATTTGCATGAAAAATTCATGTTACCCGCTTTTATATTACAGAGAAAAGTACTTTTCCTTCCCACGGGTACGACCTTGGCGAGGTGGGAAGGCTCCAGTACCCAGTACGAGGATTTTACCCAAGCAAAACTCTTGTTCTGCTTGGATAAAAATTCAAAGACGGGGAAGCTAACGTACCCTCGTCCGCCGATTTAATTGAATGAACGAACCGCAGCCGGTTCGTCGCGTTTGCTTCGGGAGTGCCGTTCAAGTAATCGGACTAAAGGACTTTTCTAAACGGGAGTGCCGTACAGTATCGCGCGAGAAAGACTTTTAATGAAATTAGTCCGCGCGCGATTGTAGTTTATTATCCGCGAGTGTTTCTCGCGAGTGTCTTGTGCGGTGAGACGATGAAGCCTAAGTATCCCCTGAGAGGAGGAGGAGGCCTGGGAGAGGCATCGGGCACCGGCGGAGCAACCTTGGGGTGAGTATCATCTCTTTATATCTGCGTAAAATTAAAATAGTTCTTTTTTATTTATTCGAATTGTTTTATCTCGATAAATTAAAAATAATTAGAGAAAAAGATTATCTAAAATTTTACTCTTATAAAGATCGTTTTCGGTGAACACAGATGATTGTGTTGCTAAATATTTTATTGAAAAACAAATTAGTTGCGCGAAAAAATTATATTTTGAAAAATGTTGATTATTTTGAACGCTTCTTTAATTTGAATCTTATGTTTGTATGTTACAGTATCATCGTAGCTACGTGGCTGAACAACTCCGCCCGTTGCACATCGGCGTGGTGAGTCAGAATTTTTTTTATTGAAATGACAAATCTACGATTAGTCAGATATAGAGCCATTGTATCTCGGAACATATCGACGCTTATATATATAAATTAATTAAGTCAGGGTTTTAGGAAGTCGCGTCCGCGTCGCGTATACGTCTTCCCCGGGAACGCCGCCGCCGCGGTGCCGGGTGGAAGATCCGTCATGCCACGCGCCACGTCAAATCTGCACATACACATATATTACGTAGGGATATGCGATTTCAATATGCAATATTGCGACATTTTAGAATACTCTGAAC